GCACCTTCCTGTTTCCTAGAAGAGAGGAGTTTTGGACCTTCATCTCCTTCCATAGAACTTGGGCAATAGTGGGTTCCAGCTGCATGGATGAGTGAGGAGGGAACCTGCATGTCCTCTACCAAGGATTAACCTGCTACATTCCCAGACTCATTGTATTGAAACGTTTGTTTTAACCAACATAAATGACATTTGAATCTGATTAGAAGAGGGGAGGAAAAAGAGGTGCCTTATTAGGATATTGAATTATCGACTGAGTTCAAACAGACATGCAACCAGGTCTTAGGAAATAATGTTAGAGATTAGAATGCTGGAGAATAGTAACAAGAAGTCCTTCCCCCGACATAAGAGTGCTGTTTTGTGGTGTTTTTATTTTTATGAGAGTTATACATGACTGTAGTTTAGAAAGACAACTAGATGCACAGGATTCCTTAAGATAGCCTGTAGCCCACGCATCCCTCCTTTCCAGGAGACACTATTCTCAATTGCTTGCACTATGTATGTTTTATGATGAACTTTCTTAGTAGTATGGTTGTATTGCTACTTCTTGTTTTTTTTTTTTTTTCTTTCTTTCAATTTTAGGCATATCTGTTGAATTTCTGACTTTGGAAGGTGAGGGTGGAGCTTTTTCACTACTCCACCCTCTGCCATGCCTGCACATATCCTGCTCCCCATTCTCTCAGCATACTTAGATTTCAGATCAGTATTTGGTTGTGACATTTTTATGACTGCACATTAATGCAGAGGGAAGCTCTGCTGGTGTACATTATTACTTTTTCTGCATGGTTTCTTGTTTTCTCTAATAATTACATCCGTAGTTCAACTTTTTATCTTGAAAATATTAATGCATGCTTATTTTGCGCCAGGGACTAGATTGAATATTTTTTATGGCCCATCCCTTTCAATCCTGATAGCATGCCAACCATTTAACTTCTGCATTTCAGTTTCTCCATCTGCAAAATTGGAGTTAGTACTGAGTCAGGGAGAGGTTAAATAAATTTGTCTAAGGTCACTCAGCTAGAAAGTGGTTATGAAAGAGGAATTTGAATCCATGTGTGTGTGATTCTAGGGCCAGACCTTTCTTTGATGTTTCTAGCCTAGGACTGACATTGCTGAATGGCATCTGGAAGCAAGGTGGCGAAGATGAGATAGAATAGTGAAGAATTCAAAAGAGAATGTTGTGGGTGGGGGGAGGCAGAGTCACTTCTGTTCAAAAAAATAATAATTTATATACATCACTCAAAATAACTACATGCACATGCAGTTCTGTGCTAGTCTTGTGTGAATACCGTTTAATGCTTTTATGTCCACTGGCATTTTCTTCCCAAGGAGAAACTTCTTTCCTGCTCTAATCTGGGGCACAGCCGCCTTCCCAGGGCTTCTCTTCATCTCCGTCTCTTGCATGAGCTAGCCTTTCCCTTGGCTTCTTCCATTCTTTTGGTGGAGCATGTTCACATCTTTCAGTATCTCCCTGAAGCAAATTTGTGGAGACTATTCAAATTCCCAATATTTATTGTACAGCATTTTAAATTTTCCTTCAAAAATGTGGGCTCACTTTCTAGGCCTCTGGTTCCAGTGTTGCTGTGAAGGCTGAAGCCCTTCCAATTCTAGATTCCTGGTGTGGGACTTGCTTCACTTTTCTTTGGGATTCTTAGAGGCTCATTGCCTTGTCTCTAATGTCTTGACATTCAGTGTTGACATTTCATGGTTTGGATCTTATCTGAATCCATATGCCTAACCTTTTCAATTTGGAGACACCTGGCTTTGGTTTTTCTCTGACTTTTTTTCGTTTTCTGTCTGTAACTCTTATTGTTGGGCCTATGGACCTTTATGACACTGGTTAATTATTTTTCTTTTTCTTTCTTCTTTCTCTTGTCTTTGTTTTTGCTTTATATTCTGGGACCTTTTCAATTTTATGGTCAGAGCTTTTTGAGTCTTTAATTTTTGCTTTCATGGTTTTAATTCAGTGATGACAGTGTTGTCAAAATACAAATTATCATAAGATTTACTCTTTAATGTTAGCAGTGAATGGTTTTAAGTATATTTACAGAATTGTGCAGTCATCACCACTAATTGTAGAATGTTTTCATCTGCTCTCTAAAAGAAATCCTACCAACTGGTGTCCCTTGCCTCCTTCCTTCCTTCAGCTCCTGGCAGCCACCAGTATACTTTCTGTCTCTGTGTGTTTGTCTGTAATGGACAATCATTATAAATGGAATCTTAGAATAAGTGTTCTTTTGTGACTTGCTTTTTTAACTTAGCATAATGTTTTAAAGAATCGTCCCAGTTTTTCATTGTCAAACAGGATTTTATTATATGACTATCTACGTATAACGTTTGTTTATCCATTCATCTCTTGATGGACATTAAGTTTATGTTCACATTTTGACTAGTGTGAATGATGCTGGTATAAATGTTAGTGTTTAAGTTTGATGTGGACTATGTTTTCAGCTCCCTTGGGTGTGTATCTGGGAGAATGATTGCTAGATCCTGTGGTAATTGTTTAATGTGGAGTACTGCCAAAGGGTTTCCCACAGCAGCTAAACTATTTTACATTCCCACCAGCAATGTTTGAAAGTTCCAGTTTCTCCACATCTTTACCAACACTGTTATCCTTTTTTAAATTTTAGCCATATTATTGGTTTTCATGTTTGAATTTAAGAGCTCCTCCCCAGTTTCTAAGAGTTCTCAATGTTCTTTAAAAGTAGCTTATAATTTCATGAATATCAGGTTGTATTAATAAATAACTATAAAGTTTTCTGTCCAGTTTTTGTTTACTTCAAGCTGCTTTTTCTTGTTTTGGTCTCCCTCTTTCATATAGAAGCCTTTTGATTTGTGTTCAGAAGTCCTCAATTATTCATGAATGGTTCCTAATAGGCTGGCTGTAAATTGAGTATGTGAGGCTTTTGGACCTTGCACAGTTTTGCAGGATAGTGGCCTGGCCATTTGTTGAGGGAAGAATAGCTAGTGTTAATAACTGCAGATCTTTTCTGAGGGAAAGTGCCCCCTTCTACCTGGAGGACAGAGGACTGTTTGCCTCTGTTCTAGAGCTTACTAGTGATAAACTGGTGGCCAGTCTCAGATTAGTGTGCTTAGGTTTACTTAATCCCTCTGCTTTTGGTATGGTACCTCTGCCCCAAGCGTTCATGGTGTCCCAGAGACCTCCTCTTAAAAGCAAGCTTGCTGCTGGATTGTGGAGGAGTTGTTTCCTGAGGCTTGTTGGAGAGTTGGTGATTGGGATTCAATGCTTAACAAAAAGCTCTGATTAAGAGCCCACTTTAATCCAGTGTACTTTGATGGTAACCTGATTGGATCTGCCAAGACCTTATTTCCAGATTAGGTCATTCTGAGGTGGGCAGGACTTCAGTATGTCTTTTGGGAGTGGGGCATTCAACAGCTAACAGATGGTGACTAACAGTTCTCCACTTAGCAAAATATTTTTCATGCATGAGAAGTATTCATGCTTTATCTCCTTCTCATACTTTTTGAATAAGGAAGAGGTATCTAAATAATTTTATGAGTTATGCATAATATTATTAGGAATATGAGACATAGTGTAAAAAAATATAGACATATCACTCTTGAACATATTTGACAAAAACAACCTAACTAGTACAATGGCACATTGAATCTATCAAGATAGTTGGAGTCAGTATAGTATTCTTTTGCTTTTATCCTGGGAAATGCAAGACTACTTCAATGTTAGAAACTATTGTAATTAATCCACTGCAATTAATAAGTGAAAGGAGAAAAATGTACACATTTAAACTAAATAGATACCTATATATTTATTTGCTAAAGTTCAATACTCAGACATGGTAAAATCTTTTAGCAAACTATCTGTAGAAGTTTTCATGACGTGATCAAAGTAAAAAACCGGGATTAAAGCAAACTTAATTCTAATTTAAGACAAGGATGTGTACATAGTATTCTTCCCTATACTCACTATTTGGCCTTGTGCTGAGGCTTTAGTGAGTTCAGGAAGATGAGGGCAAGCAAATGAGGCATAAGCATGAGTTAAAGGAGGGATAAGACCATTGTTGTAGATGTTGTAATTATTTGTATAAAACATACAAGAAAATTTTCATTATTGCCACAAAAATCACAGTTGTCACTCAGGTAGAGAGCTGGTAAGGCTGCTGGAAACAGAAACAATGGGTGGGGATGGCTCACCTCTGGAGGGTGGCCTGCTGTTAAACATTGCTAGAGTCTGTCTTAGCAATGCACTGTTTGGACTTCATCCTAAAAAAAGTAGAAGAGTCTCATAAAGAAATGCACAAGGAAATCTACTGCATGCTATTAGGAAAGACTTGAAAGTACTAAATGTCCTTTATAGAGACTTGATAAATTGAGGGCATCCAAGTGTGCTTACATGTGCTGCAACCACTTGGAAAGCTAAGAAAATACTATGGGATTATTTCTTGTGTGGAATATGGAAAAGCTAACATGATTGTGTTCTAGAATAAGTTGTTATCCAGGAGTTCATTTGAACAGGGTAACATTTTTTAAGTTTGTAGCAGTAACTTAGAGCCATATTTGTTACTGGTCTGTAAGTTCTAATGTGGATCCTTATGAAATAAGTTTTCACTTACTCTTGGATCCATTGTAATATTCCAACTTGTCTCTCCCATGTTACTTTTTGTAATTTTTTACTTTTTTAAAAATTGTACATCTTTTTGGGTAGTCTTAAATCCTTTCATAAACCATTTAGGGTGAAGAATGATGATCAGTTAATATTTATTGAACTGTGATGCGGTGCACACTGTTAAAGCTTCTTTACAACTACTTTTTTTGTTAAAGGAGTGTTAGTGTTTTGATAAAGATGTTTGAGGGACAGCATGGGCTGGAAACGTGTGTTTACATAATATAAATACTAGGCTTGCATTTATATGTTTACGTAATATTAAACCAAACATTTGTATTTTCTCATAAATATCATAGATGTTTAAAGTAGTTGAGTGTGATAGAAACCTAAGTAGCTAACTGTAGCTTTTTTCTTTCAGAACTTAAATGAATATGTTGACGCATTGATTACCTTGAAACAAAAAATTATTAATACAGAGTAAGTATATTTGCATACATTTGGCAGAATTTTGTAAGCCTGACAAACTGAAGTACATGGAAGTTTTGGGCCCTGAGGGTTAGGCTATGAGGTACTCATTCTGGTAACATTTCTGTGAGTTCTCTCAGCAACTTGAACCTTTATTTAGTGGCTCACAGGTCTTTTAAACAAAGCTCCTGGGTAAGTAGGAAGTTACTTTTGATGGATTGGAATTTTTTAAAAGATGTTTTGTGTTTTCAAAATCATTTTAGCTTTATGCTGAATGTAAAATTTTCTCACAGTATTTTATAGCCATGATTTCAGATTTACTTTTTTAATGCTATAATAGTCTTATGAAATTTAGGCCACAATGCTACTTTGATCAAAGTGATTTTTAATTAAAAGCTCATTTTAGTGCAATGCTTTTGAGGTATTTAAGGTAACACATTAGCATACATTGTGTCTGGAAACCAGAGGAGAGGCAGCTTTGTATGATTTGCAACATGATTTTAACATAGTGTATTTTCTAAATAAAAAGAATAACGTAATTCTTTTTTTTGTTACAGTAATTTGCTAACAGAATACCAGAAGAAATGTGATGATATCCTTTTACTGTTTATTTCTTTTGAATGTTTAGATTTATTTATATATAATAGAGATGTGAAGACTGATCTTTTTAATAGTTATCTTTTGGAAGGCAGAGTTTCCAGGCTCAAATAAAAAGTGTTTCTGATGGGCATAATTGACAGCTAGTCCTTTTAGTTTTAATGCATACTTAAAGTTCTAAGACAAGGAGATTTAGCAGCCTGTTTTGTTTCTATTACTCTGATTTTTTTAAGGTATTATAAGCTTTGTAATACCATTTTTACTGAGGATGTAGCATCTTAGGATATGTTTTGACACTTAGGAATTACTTTCTGAATATTCCTTTTGAATCTGCAAAAAGTATACTCGAGAACATTCAAAATGTTGGGAAAAACTTGTTTAATTATTTTGTGATTAATAGAGAATTAGTGTGTATATAAAAAACCATATAGAAATAATATGATTTTTATATTCATAAGGAAATTCTTGGGCTTAGAGTCAGTTTGTTCAATAAATATTTACAAAACACCTCTAATTTAGTTAGCTCTGGTTAAATATTTTCTTAGCAGACAGAGAAAGGTCTGTATTACTGATCTTTCCACATCTTTGGTGATAACACTTGCCTTGATTTAAGTCTCTCCCATAAAAATACAGAATTTCTCCCATGAAAACAAACATATATGTGCCCATAGAGATCATGATACTTCAACTTTATTTTCCAGGTTGGGACAGATTTCTGCTGTCACAACAATTGAATCTCACGTTATTTTGACAGCAACTTGAGGCCTACTTCAGTATTATTTTTGGCATACTGAATGTAATTGTGATCTCCAATTATTTATTTGTATTCATATCATGATATCTAATTTGTATAATTAGAGCAAGGTAATAGTATTTAGATTTAGTTTTAGTGTTTGAATTTTTACATTAAAAATTGGAAGTCACTGAAAATTTCTCATGCTTCATTTTGTGAAACTATTAATTTGTTTAATTACAAATGCATAAAAATCACAAGAGTAATATGTTTGATTTTAAGAGTGGTACAGAAACAATTATCATAACTACTTCTAGATTGCTAAATAGAAAAATAGATGAGCAGCTTCATATGTGTGTATATTAGTCAGTTTTTCGTTGCTGTGACCAAAATACTTGACAAGAGCAACTTAGAGGAGGATAAGTTTAATTTGCTTTACAACTTAAAAACCCAGTCACACATTTATTATGGCTTTTTTCTATAATTTGCTTCCTTTTGCTACTCACATAGCAACAGATTTTCTCTTTTTTTCCCCCTCAAGATTAGAAAGTTATATTTTTCAATAAGTGGGCTCTGATAAAATCAGCATTATTCAGTGCGTTATTTATTTTTTTATTCTGACCATTTTATTGTCTATCATTGCTTCTTTCCAAAGGACAGGAAATACATTGTTTTCATGACTTTTTAAAAAAATTTTTTTCAAAGACTGCTGTACTTTAGGAAGAGTAAAGTGTACTTCTCAACCTTGAGAACCTTAAGATGCAGGAGCTGCAGATGTGTTTTTACAAATATACATACACATGCTATGCTGGGCTGTGAGTAAACATGGGAGTTGCTAGGAAGTGAAACTTCAAAGAATTATTCTTTGCTGTCTAAGCATAAATATGCTAGCAAATGAAATTGAGGTTATCAAATTGTCTGAATTGTAAAAATGAAGACCCATATAGATTTTATAATCTCTCTGTAGCTTTTGTGGATTTTATGTTCTCTTTGTATTTCTTTTCTAATTACTCATTAAGGGTAGTTATGTGATTTTTGTGAATTATATAACTCTTGTCTGTTGCTATTATTCTCTGAGTTATTCAAGAAATGAAGGGCAGGTTATTGGGAATTCAGATATATATGGAATATCAAAGTATTTTCTATTTACTGGTTAATGCTTGGTCTTTATTCTTGTAATTTAACTCTAACCAATCAAGTCTTCACAGAGCTGTTTTTTTTTTAGAGAAATAGGTATTTTGGTAAATAGGAATAACTCAGTAAAAAGACATTACTGTGTTACAAGTAGAAACTTAGATGTTATTTTCTGGGGTTTATGATCTTTCTTGAATGTTCATTGATTATAGATTATTAAAGATAACTGTAAAATGAGTTTTATCTGATACTCACCTCTCCAGGTGAGTATCAGATGATAAAATTCTCAGAGTTTTCTTTAATAAGTTTTACAGCTGCAGTTTGCAAGAAGGTAAGCCAACCTCTTTTCATAGTTGGTGATACCACTTGTTTGAGTGTTTGATTTGGAATAGGTATTTGTAGGCCAGATTTTAAACAGAATCTAACAAAACATACCTAGGATTGATCCTAGGTATAGTATGTTGCTTTATTGCTCATAATAAAAGATTTGCATTTTTCTGCCACATCATTTGAATGGATTTACTTAGGTCTTAAGTTGCAGCCTGGTGTTTCATCTTTTCATTGACTTTTGCTGACTACATTGCAACTGAGATGAAGCTTATTCTCAAATTACTGTTGTCCACATGAATTTCACTTTTTAACATGGTTGTTTATCTAGTGTTATTTTATACAATCTAATTACTTATCTAATTACTTTAGCAATATTTCATGTTCTGTTTACATTTGTCATTTAGAAGAAGGCTCAAGTGTGGTTTTAACCCAAATTCCAAAATAGCCTATCACTTAATTTGAATAAATAGGGATGCATTCAAGATTGGAAATGCCATGTTTGCAGACAGTTCTTGAACACATTCTCTAGCAGAGAGAAGAGGCTTCCAGGGAGGTCTACTTGTACTTGTTTCCCAAGTTGCTTTTTGATACACTTTTAACAAAAATAGACTGTTATTTCTAAGAAATTAAGCAATATGAAGATCATATTAGTGTAAGTAGGTATAAATGGTAGAAATGTATTTAAAAAGATTCTTTTCTTTTTTTTGGTTCCAAGTTAGAAATCTCAGATCATCAGTATAGGTGTTCAGCAATTCACTGCAGATTCTCTTGTGTAATGACATTATTCATTGTTCGTTTTTAGAGAAAATAGTACTTTACATCACCAAGTGGAGCAGATGCTGCAGAAAATTTCTCCTCTGCAGAAGTGTCAGGAAGAACTAGGATCTTTAAAAGCAGAGCTAGAAGAGAAAAAGGTAACTACTATCATTTCCTATAAAAGCCTATTGTCAGTACATTAATTCTGTCACTGTAATTGGTAAAAGGGCACTTTTAATGTGTTATCAAAGCAAATAAAAGTTAATATATCACTGTCCTTAGAGAACACTGAACTGATTGATTAATGGCTTCACAGTGATTACTAGCTCTACAATACTGTGTTAGTTCCTTATGCTTTTTGAGGGGCTCCACTAGAGAAAACTGACAACTGAGTGTTTTTATGTTTGTTTTTTTTTTTAATGTGTCCTACGCTAATTCAATTTTTCCCCTGAATGTGAAATAATGTGCGAAAATTTACACTTAAATCATTGTGTGTGACTGAGAAAGTGGGAGAGAATTTGATTTCATCCAGTAGTGCTGGACAGCCCAGGGTAGGACTCAGGGTCTCTGTTTTAGTATGAGTGAAGATGTCCTATAGAGAACTCACTCTCATGGTTCATGAACTAATCAATGTCCTAAGCAATGTCTATATATCCTTTTACCACTATTACCTGGTAGTTTGGTTTGGTCCTGATTTTAGATTTCTGTTCTTGTAGTTATGTTTGGTTCTTTGTGGTTTCTCATTGTCTGTGAGCAGTGCATAAAGTGAGAGTCCTTCACTAATATTCACATGCTCTCATAGGTAAGTGTTGAGGTTAGAAGGTACTTCCTGTTTGAAACAGTCTGATACTATTTATGCAATGATTTGAAGTCTTGGAAAAAAACACCTATTTTAGATATAAAACTCTGATAAGGTTATCCTTTCATGGAGTTTATTTTCCTTTTCAAAACCCAGTTTCCTGGAAAACTTTTTTTTTAAATACCTTAAACTTAGGATAATTTTCTGTATAAATATACCTTTTACAAGAACCGTAAAAAAGAATTCATGGCTACTACAGATAAAATTATTGGAAATCCCACATGTCATATGGTTTACATGAGACAGATTGTTACCACCCTAGAGTATTCTCCCCTTTCCAACCCATGGCTCTTGTGTGAGAGTATTTGTGCCTTCTGGTCTTTCACTAGAGACATGTAGCTATCTGAGCTCTTATGTACTTGAATGATACATATTTATTTACTGTTTTTTGTAAAAATTCTTCATTCAACTATGCAGTGAAAGTTGAACAGAAACAGTTGCAGTGTTCAATTATGTCTATCTGTGATTATAAAACCTATGTCTGAGAGGGAACCTTGGAGTCAGACCTCAATAATAAAACTCTTAATTACTCTCTGTGACTTTAAAAAAATAAATTCCCCTCAAGCCCTCAGACTCATTTGAAAAAGGCCTCTAGAGCTGGTGCGATAGAGAAATATATATAAATATATATATGTATATAAATGTCACCCTCAATTACAGAGTCTTTCCCAGTCCATAGGGCTGTCAGGGTATATATATTAGAGTTCACACATTTTTCCCAGTTATCATTAAGTATAGTATTTTGTTTTGTATTTTTTCCACAGTAGTACTAAAACTAATATTTACTGAGCTCTAAATTTCTTCAAAGTATATTGAATTTTATTGTTTAAGACAAGAATATTAGCTATTTGATATTTAAACCAGTTATTAAAGGGTTTGGAATTGTCTTAAAATAAGTTATTATTTTGTTTTGTAGCTTTTATATGAATGTATTACCAATTATATGTATTAAGAATCTAATTAAACTTATTAAAATATTCAATGAATTATATTTGGTTTCCTGCTGAATATATCTATTCTTTTGGTTAACTTCATACTGTGAAAGATGATAGTTTGACTTCTCAAGATCAAAACAAGTTATGACCTATTGTTGCTACTTTTATTTGGACAGTTTTTGTTTGTTTCTTTAGAGTTCTCTAAAGTTATATCAGGACACTCACCAGGAATATGCTCGTGTAAAAGAGGAATGCTTGAAAAGTGATGCACAGTGAGTAGTTTTAAAATTACTATAGAAATGGGGTTTTCATATTTGAAAGTAGATATTCCATAAATCAGTAGTATTTCTCTTTTCTCAGTCTTTGGATTTTTTGGCCATGATTAGCTATGTGGTCTTGAACTAGTTAGTCTCTCGGCCTTGATTTCCACCTTTGTAAAATGGGAATTGTATCTACTTTGAGCAATTATAAGGAAGATTAGAAGGTCCTGTGTTAAAGTGCTGCAAAAAGAAGTACATAAAAGTTTTTTATTCTGTACACATGCATGTGTGTCCGTGTGTCTATTGACTTCTTTCTTTGTGCTGATACTTCAATGGGTTTCAAACAGAATAGACATCTTTATTACCATTAATGAAAAGTGCTGTTAAAAACATCCCTTGTGGAAAAATAATACAAGGGGGACAAATGAATGCCAGTAGAGGGGGCAGAGAGAGAAAAGGGGAGGGGAGGGGAGGGGAGGGGTGATAGTAGAGGATAGGAAAGGCAGCAGAACACAACAGACAGTAGTATGGCAATATGTAAATCAATGGATGTGTAACTGATGTAATTCTGCAATCTGTATATGGGGTAAAAATGGGAGCTCATAACCCACTTGAATCAAAGTGTGAAATATGATATATCAAGAACTATGTAATGTTTTGAACAGCCAACAATAAAAAATTAAAAAAAAAAAAAAAAAAAAACATCCCTTGTGGGCTGGGGTCATGGCTGAGTGGTAGAGGCTTGCCTTGCATGTGCGAGGCACTGGGTTCGATTCTCAGCACCACATACAAATAAATAAGATAAAGGTCTATCAACAACTAAAAAAAAAAATAATAAAAAAAAAATCCCTTGATTATTTTGACATTCAGTACCACACAAAACAGTCATGTGAACTGTGTAGACAGTGGTTTACTGTGTAGATGTGATTCAGCAGTGACTCAGAGACTCTTTCTCAGGGGGTTACCTTCCTTTTTGGCTCTTAGGAATCCATCTTAGAACTGGAGAGGGTCTCCAGCCTCTGCCTTCTGTCAGGTTGCTGTGTATATACAGTTAACTGCACATGCTCCCAGAGAGTAACATTGACCAGTGCTGACCCTTGGAGCCCGTCTGGATATGCTGTCAGCTCAGCTTCTAGATGATCTTACTTCCTCTAGGGGCAGAGTCTGAGTAGGTCCACAACTTGTTTTTCATATGGAAAAGACAGAATAAAAAAAAAAAAAATCCATTTTAGAACTACTATACATTAAATGGAATACCATTCTTTCTTAGGTTTATTCTATCAGAAAAATTTATGGTAATTTCAGTTATTGATAACTTAATGCTAATTGTGACTGAAATAGTCTGTTAGGCAAAGCTCAGTAATTTAAAAAATATGTTTCATAAATTGTGAGGCTTTGTTTCTGTCATATTATTTTTCACTTTCTAACTTATAGTATTTTATTATTAGGAAGAAGAAACTCGAAGCTAAGGTGAAGAAGCTGGAAGGTAAATGGCACTATTGTTACCTGGCTAGTGGAAACCCTTGCTGGCTATTTCAGATCCCTGGTAATAGGGTGAAGCACTCGATCAAATGGTTGAGTTGTTGTAGACTTGGATGGTACATCTCTGGGTCATCCCTAAATGAGAGCAAGGGTCTGTTCCTCCCAGTAACCATATCAGAAGTTGGAGATGGAATGTGGCAGTCCCTGAAAGGGTATTATACTCAAAATAATAGCACCCTGCACTTTTTGTTGTAAAAAGTAGCAACTAATGAAATGATTTAATTTTGAAAGTTGAATCCTATGGACTTTCTTATTTTCCCCCCATGATATAAGAACAGATACTGGGGCTGGGGATGTGGCTCAAGCGGTAGCGTGCTCGCCTGGCATGCGTGCGGCCCGGTTTTGATCCTCAGCACCACATACAAACAAACATGTTGTGTCCACCAAAAACTAAAAAATAAATATTAAAAATTCTCTCTCTCTCTAAAAAAATTTTAAAAAAAAGAACAGATACTGCTTTTAATATCAAGAAACTCATGCATTTATGATACATGTAGGGAGATTTCCATGAAATCCTCTTCATTACGATTGTCCAGTTTAAATCTGGTAAATTTAAATCATTTTAAATCTCCACACACTCCACAGTTGTTAGGTGCTTCTACTTCACAAAGAAAGTGCAGAGTGCAGTTTCTTAGGTCTTCATGTTTCAGCTGATAACCCTTCAGAAGTCAGTGGGAGTGAAACTCAAGATCTTTTTGTTGGCTTTTCCTCCCTGCATTGTGCAGTGGGACATGGACCTAATGCACAGTAGAGACAGACAGCTTCTGCTGTTTCCATCCGTGCTTGTGGTCTTCCTTCAGTTTCATTGTGGCTCTAGTAACTGTCTTATCTGCTGTGGGTTTCTGACATTATAGTGATTGTGCCCTGCTTCAATGATGGTGCATTTTCACTTAGAGTGTGAGTAATAGTTTAAATTTAGTAGTCCCAGTCATTAATTTATCTAGATTAAGCCAAATGTTTTAGACTTATTCTATAAATGTCTTGGTGACATGTTCCTTAGATTTGATTATTGCATAAACATTGACAGTTGGCAGGGAGGACACTGCTGTGTTCTAAGTCTTGTCTTTTTCTTGGTGGTGTGTGGAGATAAGTGTCTAAGGAAATATTTTGAGAAACATGAGATGCCTTTGAGACTCCATATATAGCTATGAAGCAAAATGCAGCGTTTTTCATGTAGAAAAACACTTTCCCCTAGTAAATGATAAGACATAATAAAGATTACTGAGGAAAGAAATACTCGAGCTTGTTAGCATATTATTACTTTGTTGTTTTAGGGGATTTTGCTTTTTTTAGCAATTGTGTGTGAGTATATCGGTGTAAAATCAGTACTGGTCAGATTGTTAATAGTGTGAAGTATTTGTTATTTCAGAATGAAGGATTTGGTAAAAATGCAGAGAACTATAAATATTCCTAAAGAGTAGATCTCCAACAAAGATATTTGGCATTAGGATTAGTTAACTTGTTAAAGGGAATTCCAGGAAGTGATATTAGCCAAATTATATAATTGTATTGTGTGCATATGTGAATATCTAATAATAAGTTTCCCAATTATGTATGAGTATCTTGCAGCAATAAAATAATGTGTGTGGGGGAGGGAATTCCAGAAAAGAATAACTATCTCCAGTAAATATCATGAAAGCTGCCCCCTTTTCTTCTTCACCAGATAAAGAGAATGGTATTAATTAATTCTAAGATCACAGTTCTAAAATCTCAAAACATCACTGCTAATTATTGAAATGAAAAGAGTACAAGGTACCATGGCATCTCCCCTTATGCATTAGATTGAGGCCCTGCCCAGAAGGGTTTGGAAAGGATTCTTAAGCCCTGCATCAATTTTATAATCTTATAAATAGTTAAAGAAAGAAAAGTTCCTCTATTAGCCCTGACCGATAAAGTATTTGAATACTTTAAGAAATGAGAAAATCTCATACTATATCAGATCTTGAGTAATCCATTAACGCTAGCAGTAAAGGTAGTAAATTATTTTTTTGTTTCTTTATTATAATTTTAAAATACAGAAGCTGCTGTCAAGCAAACTCAAGACTTCAAACAACTAAGAAATGAAAAGAAAATACTTGAAAAAGAGTTTAAGAAGACACAGGTACTATATAAAACAGTGTGTTCAAACTTGAAAATTCCTGGTTTCGGGGCCTGAGTGGGTGACTGTTGTAACAGATCTGACAGTCAGGCAGAGGCCACCTAGGGACTATAGGCACGTTGCCTGTTAAGTTATACCTGTTGTACATTTGATCCACCATATTTGCACTACTCATCCAGCATAAACACCGTTAGTGTTTTATTTTCACAGGAAAGACTTGACGAATTTTCCAAACAGAAAAATGAGAAAGGTGAGTATTCAGTTAATACTTACTTAAAATTTCTATATTGATATGCAATATTTTAAAATTATTTTTCCCCACATCTTTTTAGAATTGAGACATATTGGAACACAAATTTCAAGTGATTCATATGGAAGCATAGATAAAAGTGAGTAGACTGTGATTTTTGCTTCAATTTTGTGTGCTAGTATTAGTGATTTGGAAGATTCCATATAGCTCTAACATACAGCTGTAAAAATATCCAGGATTAGTATATATTTCATGTTAGAAGAAGCCATATATTTGGGGTTGGCGTTAGTCAATATATATTTCTAACCAATTTTTTATCTTCTAAAAAAATACAGTGATTAAGGGATACAATGAAGAATGTTGTTTGGGAAAGGAAAACTATTTAATATGTATAGTTTCCACAGTTTTCAATAATTAAGTATTCATTAGATTACAATTTATAGGTATGAATAATAATTAGGTTCTCACTAGTTTGCAACTTATCAGATTAATTTTTTAAATATCCTAGGTGCCAAACATAAAAACATTGTTAAAGTCAGGCAGGAAAACCATAGTGTCAAAGCCCTATTGTATATTTACTGAAAACACAAAAGAGTTTAAGGAAGAAAAGTAAAATAGTGGTAGCCATGGAATTGTTGTAAGGGAAATCCAGATATGTCACTACACATTTGTACTGAGTGACTCATTTCTAAATGAGAAGGCATAATGACAATTGAGAGTGAGAAATTGGGAGTTTTCATCTTAATACTTCTGTTTACTACTTGGCTCTTTGCCGTTTACTTCCCTTTTTTCTCCTTTTAAAAAGTGGAGGTTATGAATTTGAATTTCTACTTTTATAAGTTTTTTGTGGAGTTGAAATTAATGTTTATTAATTAAATGTAGTCATTTTCATCATACTAATGTGGATTTTTTAATTAAAAACCTCTAAGTGGAAATAATTGAAGACCTTTAAATTTTTATGTATAAGTAAGCAATGTCTCTTAAGAATTCACTTTTATCCCTTTTCCCCTTTTCTTTAATTTTCTTTTACCTTAGAGAACAAGTTCACGTTTTCCTTGGTTTAAGGCCATTAGCTGTTCATACTTTCCAGTTGCCTGGGCACTGGTATCACATATATGCAATCTCTTGTGCTTTTGCTCTGTGTGTGGAGTGTGAGATGGAGTGATGGGTATTGCTGAGAGCAATCAAAGATCCAGAGCATTGCATTGTGCTTTCCCAGCCAACAATCAGCTGTTGAATTTAATCATATTTCCTTCTGGACTCACAGATCTGTGTTAGGCCTTTCTATTCAAACATGGTCCTTCTACCCACTCCTTTCAGTTTTCTATCCTACATTTCATCTTATTTTTTTCAAAGAGCTTATTGCTCTCTCAAAGTTATTTTATGTTTTGTTTTGATCCTCTCTAATAATGAGGGCAGGGATATTGTCTATTGTACATTGTATTTTTTCCAGGTAAATAAATTAATGAAGTCAGTTGTGAACTTTGATGTATTTATTTCTTACTTCTTAACTGAATCCTTAGCACTTTTCTCTATTAATATTGAATATTTGACTGCTGGAAGAAATTAGCAAATTAAATACTAAGAAATATTGAGTTGGCATCACTTTAAAAAAGGCTTCCTGAGTGGCACTTTGCCTTGACTTCTTTTCAAATTCCAACAAAAATGATCTAAATGAAAAGTAGTTTGCCTGGATAGTTAAAAAGTTTACCATCAATAGGGTAAATTAATGAGGAAGATGGAAAGCAGATGGTTACAGTTGCAGGCTGCAAAAAGCAAGTTTCACTGCAGAAGCCTGGAGTTTCCCTTGATTGCTGGGGTAGAAATAGAGGTAGGAGCAGGTCCTTAGCATTTGCAAGCCATTGATAAAAGGGTAAAGGTATGACAGCCTTCTCATTTCAAACCTGTTTCTGGTCTTTGCCCACAGACTGAGCCCCAGGTACAGATTGCTGAAATGGTAGCTGCGTCATAAGACATGCCTGAGGTCTCTGGATAGTAGAACATTGAGTAGTTGTGGCTGCTTTGAGCATTAGTCACTCTTGTTCCTAGTAAATAAGATGGTAATGCACTCCGTGTAATCCGCACAATTGCATTCACTCACCTCTGTCCCCAAAGGCAGGGTCATGAAACAAGAACCTGCACTTACTGCTAGAAGATCAGGACTACAAATGTACATAAAGGAATACACTTCTAAAGGTGTTCTGCCTACAACCTTTTCTAAAACCTTGACAAAAAGAAAGGGAGGGACAAGGAAGAAAGGTGCCAGAAGACTGAGGAAATATTACTAAATCATGAGTGAGAAGAAAAGGTTAAAAACTAAATTAGAATTCTTAGAGAAAATCTAAGAACATATCCACAGGCTCCCTCTGTGGATCTTGGAAATTAAAAATATGATTACAGAAATAAATCTGCTAAATAGGCTAATGTTGAATGGATAGATGATTGAATTAGTGAACCCAGAGATTAGATCCAAGATGTCTCTAAGGATGTAGTACAGAGGGTGTTAGAAAAATATAAGAAATTGAAGGATAAAGCCAGATGTCTTAGTATTCATCTCCTAGAAATTTTCAGAGGGAATCACAGAACCATAAGGAGGGAAAGAGATCAAGAAGTAACAGAAGAGAAAGTCACTGAACAGAAAATATTTTTATGTTCATTCTGTTGGGGCCTCCCAAGTGTAGAAAATGATTTTTTAATATAAATTCTACCTCTGACATGTTTGTAGGATATGTACCTAAAATAAATGAAACAAAAAGTTTGAATACAGAGTGGCAGGAAAATGTCTTCCAAGCAGTGCTCTCAGGAAAGCAGTAACATAAGAAAATATTTCAAGCTTAGAAACACATTTACATAGATTAAAAGGGAATGTTTACGTTGATTAACACAACTCATTAAGTGGACACTGTCATGTGTCTAAGAGCATGAAACTATCAGTAAAAGAGCTTTTGGGAATTCTAGGAGGAATAGCCACATCGTTTGTCATCATGATCAGTTTTAGTATGTTTCTCAGAAACAGGTGAGAGCAGACAGGAGATGGAATTATGACTATAATTAAATATGACTCTGCAGACTGCACAGTTCTTTAGTATACTTCTCAGACATTTTAAATTGGCTAATACACAGCAAAATAACTCCACAATTTAATGAGATATTAACAAGACCCCATTCCTATAAGTTAATGAAAAAAAAGTGCAGCAATTGATTTGGAACTATTGAAACTGACTGGATCATTACTGTACTGGAGAAACGAGAACCTATATCAAGTGTGAGCAAGAGGAAAACCCATTGCACCCGGACTTGGAAAGCTGCGAAAGTACAGTTTAGTTCTTCATTCATAGTTTCATATCCAAATGTAAAAAACAGATTTTCTTTTTCTAGGAAAATGTGCTCTCAAATTGATTCAGACTTGAACAGAAAATAATACAGAAAAAATTTTTAAAAATAATTGAAGTGTTAGACCATTGTAGTTCCAGATGGTTTGTTGGTTGAGCTCTCCAAAGTCTTGAGTGAAAACAAGTGTCTTTATCATTAATTTATTGTTTTAGAACTTAGAAAATATGGAATGTGCCTGTCTCATTAACATGAACAAATATCCTCAAGACTCAAAACTGTGTTACTTGATAACATAACTGCAAAAATACTAAATAAAAATTTCAGGCATCAAAGCCGTGAGTTACTTAGAATACAAATTATGATCTAAGGAGTTATTTCAGGAATATGATAACTGATTCTAAGTATTATGTTCATCTCAATTCAGTATTCGCTTCTAATTAAGAGAAAAATCGGTCTATAATAGGAAAAAAGTTTGAATTTGATAAAGGAGAAGCATTGAAAGCATAGTCCTTATTGTCAGAAACAAGGCAAGGATCCTTTTTGCTCCTCCCTTCTTTTTGTACTGGAGGCCCTAATCAGCATGGCAAAATAAACAGTAAGCCCTGCACCATGGTGCATGCCTATTAATCCCAGCAGTGCTGGAGGCTGAGGCTGAGGCAGGATTACTAGTTTCAAGCTACCCTCAGCAATGGTGAGGCGCTAGGCAACTCTGTGAGACCCTGTCTCTAAATAAAATACAAAATTGGGCTGGGATGTGACTCAGTGGTTGACTGCCTCTGAGTTCAATTTCTGGTAACTGCCCCCCCTCCCCAATAAAAAATAAACAGAGTAAATTCTTCAGATACTCCTAAGCAAGAGTCAAATTGCCATTATTTCAGATGATATGAGCATGTAGAATACCCAGAGCACTCAGCTGGAAAAGTAGTAATAGAAGCTTGATCAAGTTGTGACTTGTACAAGGGACATTCACAGTGCACCAAGTGGAATCAAAACAACCCTTTCTTAAACGGTGACTGGACCACCACATGCCTAGGAGAGGACTTACAGCAATGTGTGGTGCCACTGGGACGAAAACTGTACAGACTTCCTGAAGAGGCGTGAAGGAAGAATGAACACATGAATCAGCATTATGTTTCTGGATGAGAAAACTCAAGGCATAATGATGTGATACTTTCTTCAATGTATTTATATTAATCTCACTAGAAATCCCATTACAGCATTCTGTGGAAAAGAACAGATGGTGAAGGTTTGTCTGGAGGAATAGATGTTCAGAATAACATTTTTTAAAAGAAAAGACCTGAGCAAGAATTATACTGTAACAGTGTAATTATGAATTTATCATGATTAAAGAAGTGTGGTATTGACACAGAAACTGACAAAGCAGTGGAGTGGGAAAGTCCAGAAACACTCTTATAAATGCCTTAGATTTTGATAGTAGAAGCATCTTAAGACAAGTGTACATTCGATTTAATGAGATTTTTATCTGCACAACTAAGTAATGAAGCCTCACTGAAGACTGTTTTGTTGGGAATAGATAGCTTTTTATGGTCAGATTAGAAGTAATGTGTGCTCATTAGAATAGGCATAGCTCTGTTTATTAGCCTCCACAGGAATGGAAAAGTAACTTTTTTTCTTTTTTTTTAAGGTTCCTTGTTTGCTGCTTTGGGTATACGTAATAAGCAGGGATCCTGGTCAGGTCATTTAAGCAAAGGGGATTACAATATTTGGAAGCAGGCTTTTGGGTAGGTTAAATTACAATGTAGATAAGCTATTCATTCACAGGGTTTTAGAACTCAAGTGAATGTACCTCACACAGGGGTCACCAGAAAGTTGATTTGGCTTCCGAGAGGTTGGAAATGGTCAGCTGTTCTGACGTTGTTGTCACCATGACTTCCATGTTTGTCCTGGTTGCCTTTCTGGAGGCTTAATTTTTGGAATGACACAGTTTGATTTCAAATAAAACTAACCTCATTTAAAAATCTTTGGTTGATTTTCTGGAGATATTTTGGTTTAAAAGGTTAGTCTCTTATGTCCTCTTGAACTGGATTGAAGATGTTACTAATTTCAATAGATATTTAAGGTTAATTTAGAAACTTAAATTTAAGGAAATTATAATTGAATTCTGAGATGGCCTGAAATTACCTCATAGTTAAAGCTAGTTTTCATTGAATTTTTACTAATGTGGGTTGTTTTTTATGCACATTTCACCATAAGATTCATATTTATATTTTTGTAAATACGTTTTGGTTGGGAAGATATTTTTGGAATTTGTATACATAACGATTTTAAAAAGCTTCAAAACCCTAGTGTAATATTCTTATGAATTTCATCAATACTGTCTTGGTTATTTCCTTAGCCTTTCAACTTGAATCAGCATTTCTTAATCATACTCAGAGTCTAGATCCTAAGAAAATGTATAAATACTTCAATCTTTATGAAGCCATGTGCTTCTCCTTGTTGATACATTCATATCCACACATCTTGCCTCCAGCTCACTTCCCCTCAAGTCCATCCTTGGATTTTCTAGACCCATGCATCATCCAGGTGAATTTCAGCATGGTCAGCTGATGACCTTGCCGATAGCCTCATCTAACTGAGGGATGCTTCTCTGTTATTCTTGTGGAACATATAGAACCCTGGTCCCCTATGCTGTACCCATTAACTAGGCGTCCCTTCCCCATTTAATCACACTCAGGAGACCATGTGTGGGCCCAGGACTCATCTGTCCAGGGTGTATATAAAGGTGATGAAGCCTTTGACCAAGTAGATTGGGGCTTTTGAGTGTCCCCCTAACCCTGCACCAAAAATAAACAAAGAAATCCGTGCTAGTTAATTTCTATCTAAAGCACTGTAGACCTTTCCAACCATAATTAACTTAGTTGTGCACAGTGGTTGAGTTTGAGGAAGATATTTGGATACCTAGTTTTCTAAGTCGCTAATCCTGATTTCACATGGGCATGTTTAAGTTAAATAAGATAGTTTTAACGCTTTATTCTTTTTCACAGGAAAAGTGAAACTGCTCCTGAAGGAACTCTGGCTGTGTATAAACACAGCACACCGACTACCCAGTGAAGGCAGCAGACGTGTCCCAGGTGAGAGAGAAGCTATGGAAGCAGCTTCATATGTGAAAGTAGAAAGATTACCATGGACATTGTGACCTGTAATTTTTAATTTCTCCTGGATCTAACGTTAGAGGAATGAAAACAACTATAGTGGCCAGTTCTTATTGTACAAAACTTCTTTCCCTTCAGTGTGCCTTCTAATCTTAAGTCAGTTCATTTAGCTTTTAATTTTTTAATAACAGGTCTCATCAGAGAACATCAAAGAAACTGGAAGGATAAAAAACAATGGCATATTTGGCCGGTACATGTGGAAGACTGAAGGATGCACAGCTTTTTAAAAATTATTTCATATGTTCAGTTAGTTCACGAGCAGTTTAACTTATGTTTTGTATACTTCAGCAGTTCTGCTAACTGAATTCCTTGATTTTCAGTAAGACGACGGGGAGACATTCTGTCATATTTGCATGTGTCTTCTTGGAATTTCAGATCTTGAATTTGATGTTAGACACGCTTAGTGGAAGGGAGAAAGATAGGAGACTTGTGTTACATTCTAGTGCTTCTTATTTCTTGTCATTTTACAAAAAATTTCTTACATACATGACAATAGTGGAATGCATTACAATCATAATTATCCATTCTCAACACCATTTTTCGTAACTGTGTATAAAGTATGTTCACTCCAAATTATGCCATTATGCATGAGCTCTATTATTATTATTATTTTTTGCATTACAGTTCTTAATAAGCTGCTATAAATTGATAGATCATTAAAGATTTAAATCAGTAGAAGCACATGCACTTGATTTTCCTACAGGCTTCTGAAGGCAGGGTTCCCTCAGAAGATCAGTAATGAGCAAATGTTGGTTCTTGGTTGTGCTGGATTCATAACTTGTCAGGTGTTGACACAGATATATTCGGTGGGTTTTTCTAAATAGGTTTTTCCCTCAGTTCACTTTCTAGATAGTAACATTGATAATAATCAAATGATACCTGCAATTTCTAAATTAGTTTCTACAGTTAAGAATTTATCTGTTCAAGCAGAAGCAGCCTGTAGATTTTTTTCAGCCTTCTATACCAGTGAGTAGTGTATGTGAACATTTAATCTGATGCTTTCATTTAAAATCACAATTTTAGGGCTAAGTTCTATTGCTTATCTGAACTTTTCCAAGGGAGAATAGAAAGCATGGCATCTTTGGAACCTTAATATACCATAGACTATCTTTTTTTTTTTTTTTTAATTTTTTCTTTTCACATGGAACAGTTACAAAAATAATGTGAAGAATTCCGTTAGACTCCTTACTCATTTTCCCAATTTTAATATTTTTCATTGCCAGTCATCAAAACTGGAACATGTGATGCAAACAATCCTGTTAACTGTAGACCTCGTGTAAATTTCATAAGTTTCCCCACTATTTCTCCTTTCCCTCTAGGATCCAGCCCAGACCCCCATATTGCCTTTAGCAGTCATCTTCCTTTAATGTTCTATATCTTGACCATTCCTCTACTTTTCCTTTGACACTTTTGGAGAGCATGTTTTCTTAGAAAGCCTATCCCTTCTGTGTGTCTGGTATTCTCTCATGGTGGACTGATGGTGTGTATATTTGTGGTGTGGACACCACAGTAGTGATGTTTCCCTCTGCTCAGGGAAACATCATGGAGATAGGTGATGTGGACATGGATTATTAAACTGTCATCCACATAATTTATCCTAAGTAATGGATCTTGCCTGCTATAATTACTACTTCGGTGTTTACTAGATGATTTTTTACTTCTCTCATTTCTTCTGCATTTATTATTTAGAATTCTTTCTTAAAAAAGAACTGTTTCTTCTCCATTTATTTGCTTTATAACCTATATTTCCATATAGTCGTAGGTAATTGTTCTATTCTATGCATTATAATTCATATTGTCAATTATTTCTTAAATTGGTCCAGCCTTGGTCATTTGGAATTTGTCCAGAGTGACTCCTGTGTGCTTCAGACATACTCCATCATATTTAAAGCACTTGCTTTCTGGCACTGTAAGGTGTTTCAGTCTCAGCTTTATTTTCTCTTCCCAGTCCTATAATCAGCCTCTTCTCCAAAGAGCTCTGAATCCTCTGTAAAACACTTGTACAGTTTATGGATATAACAGTGATTTGTAATGATTTCCTGGGACCCATATGTCTTTTCTAATAATTAGTACAACTGAAGTTCATCAGAATCCGTATACCAAAAAGGGTTGGCGTTTTACAGAAACTTTTCAGATGCATTATCACAAAGCATTCATGTGCACTAGTGAGGTCTCATTTGCGGCATGAGTGGGCTTGATGTGGGTTGACTTTAGATCACTTTTCAAAAAGAGAAAATAGTGTCTGTCCCAACCTGTATGCACAGAATTATTTCTCTTCCAGATTCCACTGGTATGATTGCCAAGCTTCATAAAAGCCTTCGTAGGTTAGTGTGGCCATTACCCTGCTGTAGCCCTGTGGTGGCTGGTTGGGTTTGTCTCATCTGTCCATCCATTCATCTTCCTCTCTCACTTTTTATAGGATAATGTTTATAAATTGATTCCCTACTAAAAAGTATTTCTACTTACTTGAAGTAACCATTGCAAGCACTTTTGAACTATTAGGATAAGGTTTTGTTTTATTTTAAATTTCCTTGACATTTTAAATCCTCACCCCACAGAAAAACCTGCCAAAGAAGATACATCTGGAACTTCTGGGGAAGATGGCACACTACCTCCAGCACAAGGCGGACCTCTCAGGGCCTCAGATGTGCAGACATGTCTCACAAAACTGTCTATGGAAATGGAGGGTGACTTTGCTTCATGTAGAAGTGTGAATAAAGAGAGGCCTGGCAGAGCAAACCACAGTATTGACCATGTTTCTGATGAGGATGGGAATACTAAGGTCTCAGTGCCGACTGGTGATGATGGTGACAGGACTCACTTATCTGACCACAGGCAGTTTTTCGATGAAGACCTTCAAGCTGCAATTGACTTCTTCAAACTCCCTCCTCCTCTTCTGTCTCCAGTGCCCTCACCCCCTCTGATGTCACCACACCCAATAAGCTCCTTACCTTCTTCACTCGCACCTGTAAGTTTGCTCTTTAAATTTGAATTCCTTCTGGGTGTGTTCTCTCTCCTAATGTGGCTGTGATACTCAAAATTTGATTTAGGCAAGACTTCATATTTTAGCATACTTTATTAAAAAGTAACAAGGAGAACTTAAGGCAAGCCAATGCCCTTTGGATTAGCATAGATCAGCATGACTCTTTTTAAGTGTGTATTAGGGTTACATTTGTAATTTATCTTTAATCACAACTAAATTATAAGTTTTTTGTTGAATGATTGTGTCTTATGTGTGTATTTTCATTGCTAGTGCATGGCACATAGATTTGGAATGAATAAAGCATGACCTTGACAGCATGGAGTTCACAGTGGTTGGAAAACCCAGTGTAGCATCCATGCCCACAGGCTTGTGCAGTTTCCCACTTTCAGTGGAGTTCATCATCTTTTTGTGTGTTTATAGAATGCTTTGTGATGGCTTCTTAGTAAATTTCCTAGGAAGTCAAGTCTTGATGAAGCACATTTTCATACCTTCTAGCTTAAGGAGCAGATAAATGGGTGGCTTCCTGAAGGAAAATTCTGGCATGTCTGTTATATTCCAGACACTAGGCCAGGCCTTGGCAGCACAGAGCATCAAGATGCAGTACCTGTCTGTCAGGTGGAGGTGGGACCAGTAAAGGAGCAGGCACCTGCCCCGCTGGGCTGAGCTCTACAGTTCTTTGAACACACCCTGCCTGAGAGGACAGAGCTCTTACCGGCTGTTGGGGAGGGGGCACAAGTGCTTCTGGAAATAGGAGCCCACACCAAACTTTTTAAAGAGTGAGTTAGACACTTAGGACCTGTGGGCATTTGAGTGTAGTGGACCCACCTGGCTCTTGATGGCATGGAGAAGAGAGTGTGGAAGGGAAGAGGTGGAGACCCAGTTAGAATCCTAAGGAATATTCCATAGGCAAGCAGAAAGAGGAGGAGAAGCAAGGAAAGGAGAATGAAAATCTTGGCTTGTCCTGGTGGAAAGCCAGGAGACTAGATGATCTGAATTCAAATCAGGAAAAGATGCTTCCAGAAGAGCAAGTTTGTTTCAGCCATGGTGTCTTCAGTCCATCTTTCCCTTATCAGTAGAAGTCAGGTGTTTGATATCCTAGGGTTGAGGTGGTTAACACAGGTGGGAGACGTCTAGAGGGACAGGATGGGGAAGGGAGAACAGCTGGCGAGGAGCCCTGGGAGGAGCTGTGTGGCAGGAGCAGTAGTGAGGCTTGGCGTGTAGGGAGAGTCACTGGGAGTGTTTGATGCCTGATAGGGAGATGAGATGGAGGGCTGTGGAGCCAGAGGCCCTCCATCTCAGTGTCCAGGCACCCTTTTTGTCTGAAGATGAGCATTAAGAGTTTGAAAATAGGAATGTTAAAAGAACACACAGAACCCTGGGCCCTGTGTGAAGTGGGGCTTGGGAGGGTGTTTGCTATGGGACAGCCATGAAAATAGGGTGGGAGTTTCTGGGAAGGGGCAGGCTTCTTTAAGTAGATGGTGGATAGTGTCATGCCAGCAGCTGTCAACCCACTCTCAGAGATCCAGAGCCTAGACAGCACTTCCCAAGCTGATTTTTAAGAATTCTTTGGTTGGGGGTGGGGAATTCTTTGGGAAGCATGTGGTTTTTTTTTTTGTTTTTTTTTTTTTTTTAAGTACATTTAATTGATATTGATAGTCATGTTTAGTCTGTTGAATGAGAGTTTAACTAGTATAATTCATGTTGTTTTAAGGAAACGTACTTTGGAGAGTATACAGATTCCAGTGATAATGACTCAGCCCAGCTGCAAAATTCTGCTGACTCTCTTTCAGAAGATGATACAACTGAATCACAGGATTATTTTGGCTTATCTAGAAAAAGTAAAGAGAATAGTATCTGGGAGGAGAAGTCCAAATCACATGAAGCTATCCAGGCTCTAAATCAATTGGCAGTAAATAAAGTGACAACTATTGGATTTGAGACTTTAACAACAACACTGAGAGAACCTTCAACAACTACATCTTCTTTAGCTCGGGAAAAGCACTGGACAGTTTCATCTGAATTCATGAGTGATAGAAAAAGAGACATTTTAGATGAGGCCAAAAGACAGGTAGAGATTAGGGAGATGGTTCAGTGTGTGCAGACAGAGAAGACATCTCATAAGCCCACTAGGGGTCTCTGGGTTGAGAAGCTGTCGGGCAGCTTAGCCCAAGAGAAGGAGGTGACCACTGGGAAGTCAGGGTTGTGTTATTCTCCCATTGGCAAGAGGCCATTAAGTGAAATCACCGGATCTGAAGGAAAAACCCTTTCATCCAAAGTGATAGGCTCACCCAAATCACAATTCACTAAGTGGACCCTTCCTGATGAAGTTACTTCTGAATCAGACTGTGTAGCAAGTTCTGGCCATTTTCAGAGAATATCTAGAGAATTGGCAAAGGAAAGAGAAGATGTGCAAGGGTCCACTGTGGGAGAGTCACCTAAACCTAAGGAGGATGATCCAGGAGATATGATGAGTCTGGCAGGGCTTGATGCTAAAGCCAGTTTTCATTCCTCTTCTACCTCGGTACCAGTGTCTGTTCGCAGTCATCCCCAGTCTTCACGATTAAAGTACATTAATGAAGCAGATATTCCAACTCAAATAATCCCTACTGAACTTCATCATTCAGAACAAAAGTTACCAACTAAAACTTTAAACACCTTACTTCTGCAGTCTGAGCCACCAGAGTGTTCTGTAAGAGAAAGCAACCTGAAGAAGAATAGCTTGGGTGCTTTGAGCCCTGAATTGGGAGCATCTAATTTTGATGAACAGAAGAGCAGGGAGAGAGAACATACAAATATCATGAAAAGCATGCCCGAAGTCTACTCACTTTCTCAGTCAGTGTTTAGGAAGGTCACAAAAGCTGGGCAGTGTGAAAGTCAAGATCCAAGAACTGAGCTCACACTCCGTAAATCAGATTTGATTTCACTAGTATCTCCTCGGGTTGGCTCAGTCAGGAGTGGTTCTAGTCTTGTTAAAAGCACTTCCTGGCACCATAGTGATTTATTAAGGAGAGGTGGTGAAGAGAGTCTGAGAGCTTCCTCAGAACATGAACAAAAGACTAATCAGCAGTTAGAAAAGCCAGTGTCAGCATTACAGAATAGAGGCTCATCAGCCATGCTTGAATCTCCCAGAGAAGATCACTGTCCAGTAGAATTCAAGGCCACTGCTTCATTACTGTCTAATCAAGTGTCAGTTATCACAAAGCAGATAAGACCTGAAAAGATTGAAAGTGCTCACTTGGAACATGTGAGACTTCCTGGGAATGAGCCCACCTCAGCAGCAGAAAACTGTGGTAACGAAGCTGATGATGGTTCTTCTGCAGGGAAATGTGGAAAAGGGGACAAGGTGACATCAGACCTCCAGGGAGTGGCTGCTGTGAAAAGCACTTCACCAGAAATTTCTGCCTCTTGTAGAAAACTAGATTTCAGTTCTCCAAGTGGATCTTTACCGGCAGGAAATTTTGATTGTTCCCCAAATAGTAAGTTGTCTTTCTCATCTGAAAACATCCTCATCCAAAGCCAAGACCCTGTGAGGGAAGACTCAGTGCAGGGAGAGGTAAGGGAGTCCAGGCCATCTCCTCACACCACAAATTCAGACCCATGTGGGGTGGAGGGCAGTGAGCTGCCTCCAGCTGAAGCAAGGGTATCAGGAAGTTGTCCCGTTGAAGTGCCCGGTGAAGTCATAGCAAGACCTGTCACTGAGGCCCCGACTGCTGCAAGCCCTTCTTGCACACCACAGAATGTTCCTGAGCTTTCAAAGTTGGCATCTGGAATGCCTAGTGGCACCGTTCCCGAATGCATCGTCACCACAGATGATGCTTTTTCTTCAGTGTCTTGCAGAAAAGATGAGGAGACACCAGTTATCTCCCCAAGCAGTCTTCCTGGCACCTCATACTGCTACACAGGCATACGGGAGGGAGGAGAGGAGACCGAGGTGGAGGGGAGTGAGGCCTTTAGCTGCAGTGAGGGTGAGCATGAGACTGAGTCCATCCTGGGGAGTGGACAACAGAGTGCCACCAGTGACACAGGGGAAGATTTGGGAGGTCCAGGGGCTAGAGCAACTGAGGCGAGACCTTCCCTAGAGGTGGCTTATCTGACTTCAGCTCTGCAAGATTTTAACATAAGTACTTTCACGGACATAGACAGACTTTCTACATCAGAAGTTGTAATGTTTCTTGAAAGTTGTCAGCTAAAGGATTTTAGTTCAGGGAATTCTGTTTCAGAATGTTCTAGTAAAGGAACCCCAAACAAAGAAATGAACAAAGAGTTAAAGCAAAGTGGAATCTCCGAAGAAAAATGTAGGGAGCAATCCTGTGAAGAAGAAACACTTGATACCTCCGAAGAGTGGGTTGAATCTGAAGAAGATAACTGTTCTTTAAAAGATCCAAGTCAACTTGCTCAGTGTTCTTTGGAAACGCTATCTGAGGTTCTCACCAAGATTGGGCAAGAACTGCAGACAAACTCTGAGGACTGTAATGGTAAAGATACTGGTAATTTAATTCTTGTAAATATCCCTGATAGCCTGACAACTGAAGAATTGAAAGAAAAAGCCCCATCTCAGGCAGCAGTTGGTTCTACATCCCACACCCCTGAACTGCTCCCACTTACCACCATCGGGCACAGTAGAAGTGACTCTCCCGTGAGTGATGGATCTCATCCTGGGGACACACCTGAGGATGCAGCCAAGCCCCCTGACATTGGAGAGCAGGGCCTGCCAGAACAGGGGGGGCTGTTGACCCTGTGTCCTGACTCCACAATGCAGCCAAGCACAGAGCACAGTTCTGGTGGGGAGGCAGAGGCAACGTTTCAGTGTCAGATATCCACAGTGACCTCAGAAGTTATCAATGTACTTATAAATAAGGATCAGAATCTTGTCATTGAAAAGGGGGACAACTGGACAATCATTAGCGGTGTGTCTGTCTCACCAGATGTGGACCAGGTTATACTGTGTGATGCTCCTGGGGACGTAGCTGTTTCTCAGGATCAGAGAGGGCTAGAAGCTGGGTTTGTTTCAGGGACTTCTATGGAGAAGTCCCCAGAGACCAGTCACATGGGCCCTCCCTTTCAGGAGCCCCCTTGTGGCAGTAATCTTTCAGGTGCTCAAGAGGATGTTTCAAACAGTGGTCAGAGTACCAACTTTGATAAAAGTCGCTTGCGGAACAGACCTGTTAAGCCCAGCATATGGATTAGTTCTCAAATATACGATCAAACATTTGAGACTCAAAATGTTGCGTCTGATCACACATATTATAACTCAAAACTAGAGCCATCTGGTAAAAATAAGAATCGATCAAAGATGTCAAACAAAGATCAGTCAAACAAACCAGTAAAGACTTTGGCATCAGGCAAAGGTGAAACTCATCAGAGTGAGGTTCCTCAGTTGCCTTTGGGGGAAAGAGGTAACACCAAAACTCAAAGAAGTCAAACTCAGCCCATTCTGGCAAATGCAGATACCTCTACTCCCACAGATTGTTCTCCTGACACTTTGAGCAAGATACGGCAAGAAGTGGGTCCTCCTCTGCCTCCTCTGCTCGCTCCTTTGATAGCAACACCTCCAAGGACTTCACAGCCACTTTCTCCTCTGATATCAAGTTCTAGTCCTTCCCCGCCAGCCTCTCCTGCTGGCCAGATTTCTCCCTCATGTGAAACTCCAGTGCCTCCTATGATGTCTCCATGGCCAGAAGACCCCCAGCCGGCTTCTCCAGGGCCCTCTCCATCTCCATCTGCTGCAACAACCAGTGGCAGGATAGTGTCCTCTCCTTTGCAGTTCTGTGCAGCCACACCAAAGCATGCACTTCCTGTGCCCGGCAGACTCCCACCTGGCGCTCCTGGTCACACTGCTGGGGGAGGGGCTCAAGAGAATTCTGTCAAAATTCTTGATACCATGTACCCAGAGTTATCTGCCAGGGCCCGGACCCTCAACATCCTCAAGGGGAACATCCAGCTTTCCCGAGGTTCCTCTGCAGACTGTAAGGCCGCACCAGGGCCCGTCAGTGCTCTGATTGGCTTCAAAGCCATCACTTCAAAATCGACTGCTTTCATCAAAACAGGGGGCAGCTCTGCCAGTGATGCTAGCCAAGGTAGGTCAAGAGAGATGGGGACTCAGCAGGAGTCAGGTGGGAAAAGAGCACTGTCGGCTTCCACACTAAAGAGTGCAAAGAGATTGCGCCTGGACAGTGAGTCCCCAGAACCAGACACCAGGGGAGCCCCTGCAGAAGAAGTCCACAAGAGCCTCCCGGGAAGTCTCCCTCAGGCTGAAGTTGTCATGTCAGAGGAGGAGAGTTCTGTCCCAGCTGGCAGTCCAGTGTCTCGGTTCTCTGTCAGCACAGAAGAAGCCGTGGACTTGCAAGGCACAGCCATAGCTCATGCTCTCAAGAAAGTTGCTGAGTCTTCTTTTGACCTGCTACCTGTAATTCGTAGTCATGTGTACGTGGGAAACATCTCCAAAAAGCCCGTAATGCGAGACCAGGAGAAAGAAGTTGTATATGAGTTTAGCACAGCAAAAAAGGTATGTGGCTGCTTTTCTCTAGTGCTTTATGAATGGCAGGTCCTCAAGGCAGATGTCTCCTGTGACAAAGAGTGCAGATGACCCTGAGCACAATTTCACAGGTTAAGAATTATGTATGTAATTGTTAGGACAAATTTTTACTTCTGTCAACATTTTATAAATTTGAAATAAGACACTGGAGGTTTGATAATTTGTATTAATTAAACAACTTAAAATTTTAGAGGAGAAGAATCTGTCAGGACTAAAATTGCATATTTCAACTTAATCTTGTCATTTTTAAAGGCTTACAGTGATTTCCTTCAGTGCATCAAATTATCACTCAATAGATCCTTTCTTTTCATTGAATACCAGTATATACACTTTTAAGTGCTTGAGAGTTTTACAGAAAGGCTCTTCAGTAATGGATGTCACAAATCAGACAGGAGCAAATGCTTTGTTTTAAAAGGAGAGGAAAGGGATTGTTCAGATTTACACACAATAGATTGTTAAAACTTCAGTACTTGCATGTTTTCTAACTATCCAGTGATACCTCATGTAGGTGACCTCCAGGGCTCAGTGGTTATGTGCACATCCTTGGAGTCCCGAGGCATAAGTACTTTGTTGATTTGGTTTTGATTGCTTACTTTCAGAGAGCATAAAGAGCACTGCAAGTAGCTTTGAAAGGGTGTTTCTTTTCAAGTGAATGAGTTTTCAAATTGTCCTTTCATGCTGCTGTTCTTTCTGAGCAAGAAAAATACCACCCAGTATTTTTAGATCTAAACATGTAGGGTCTGCGAGAGTTTAGAACACAGGGCTTCATACGCACATGCATGCACACAGATTGTTTGAGCATGCACTAGGAAATTATGATTTGAGTTGTAGAAGTGAAACTAGAAAGCCAGTAACGTCTATACTTGCGATCTGGCATCTGTAGTGTTACCTATCATAGGCAGCAGACAAGCAAGGGGATTTTTTTACCCCTGTGCCGAACTTGGGGCTTTCCATATTGGGAAGTTGTTATCGTTTGTTAACTCTATTAGTATTGTGCAACTTCAATATTTTTCCAGTTTTATTTTTCCAATAGATACTAAATTATGCTATCTTTTGCTATTTTAGGTAGACTAAATATAAATACTATATGTGCATTGCCTTTTTATTTATTTTTTTCCACTTCAGCATTTGGCAGATTGCTTGCTTCACTCTATTCTCTCAGAACTAAAAGTTCAGAAGACATCAAGGGACCACAGTTACATCCATGCCCTGTGCAGAGTGTATGTGGGCATCTGCCGGCAACTGGGAGACCTGGAAAGAGCTCGCTTGTTCTGCTATAGTCTGCTGAAGGAAGGTATGTTTAGATGGTGACGATTTTGTATGAGAAAAATGCTGTTGCTCTGTTACCTTGTGCAAAGATCTATGCTTTTCAGCTGTCTGTCACATATGTTTTAAGGTAATGTTGTGTTTTGTGCATTTATTAAAGGGCATAAGTAGCTTTAGCTATACCTAACTGCACCTGGTTTTCAGTAGAGAAAAATACTTAAATTTACTTGTGTCAGCACATAACACTTCCACTTGTGTATAATTAGAGTTTCTCTCATTACTGTATATTTATTTTATTTCTTTGTTGCTGCTTTAGGATGAGATAAAATTACATGAAATATGGGAACACTTTTAAAATGGCAAACCACACTTTTATGCCATTAACTGAAAAGGGTAGCACATATAGGATGAATTCTTAAGCTAATGAAAGAAGTGTGTAGGAGAGAAATGAAAAGGCCTCTGAGGCCAAGGGTTGTTTTGAGATTATCTTTTCCCTTCACTACTATTTCTTTAGCTCCTACTCAGGAATCACATCAGGAGTCCTTCTTCCTTGTATTAGGTCATCAGTGTTTTTAAATAGGGAACAGATACTCAAATGGAACTTATTAGTGCATCAGAAAGTCTTTAAATTCTGCCTGCTTTATTTCTGCATTAACTTTTTCACTCATTTGTTCAGCAAACATGATTAGGTGCTTGCTAAGAGTTCTGCGGTGACCAAAATCAGATGCGGGTGTGACTATCCAGTGGGACTGAAAGACCAAGTAGCATCACATGAACACTCTTTGGGTTTAACAGTGACGGGTGGTAGAGAGGAGAGGGACGTGGGCTCAGCCAAGTCCATGTGGCTTTCTTGTTCTTTCTTAGCCACAGCAAATTCATTCTCACCAGTCTTTTGTTTTCAAAGATTTCACTTTGTTTCCCTCAACTTCACTAGGGCTTACTTACACTTCACATCCTTCTTTAGTCATTCTCTATCTCTTATTCTCCTCTTTTTGCCTTCATGTCACTTAATCAATGTCTCATACATCTTTTCGTTTGCCATCTCTCCCCCTCTAGAATGTATATTCTGAAAGGACAGAATTTGTCTCATTTACACTCTGTCCTTACCCCCAGATGAATGCATTGTTAGCAGTCATTAACCATCTGTTGAATGAATGAATTATACTTTGGAAGATGGATTTCATAGTGTGAGGAGTCAGGGAAATTTTTTTGTACCAGGGATTGAACCCAGGGGTGCTTAAACATCGAGCCACATCTCTAGCCCCCCCTTTTTTTAAGACAGAGTCTCACTAAGTTGCTAAATCCTTGATGAGTTGTTAAGGCTATCTTTGAACTTTCAACCCCAGAACCACTGGGATTTTCAGTGTGTGCCACTTCGATTTTCAGTGTGTGCCACTGCACCTGGCAGGAGTCAGGGAAGTCTTCTTGGTCTTTGTGACTTTTGAATTTGAGGTGTGAAGATATAGAAGAGGTATATATGTGGAGAGAATTCCGGGCAGAGAGGATCTGTGAAGTCCAGTGAAAAGAAGAAATTCCATCAGATAAACATAGGACTTAATTAATAGATCAAAATAGTGCAATGAGTTTATGCCTTGAGCTACCTACTTTTTAAAAAAAAAAATTTATAGATAAGAACAGAGGAAATGAAAAAGATGAGCTTTTAGGACAAATGATATAAAAATCTGTATAACCACATTGGAAAACTTTTTTTGAAGAAATAAAATTGACATTCACTTATATGACCCAGGCATTTCATTCTTAGGTACAGTACAACAAAAATAGAGACATATCCTTACATAGACTCTGATACAAATATTGTACTAGATTTGATTCATAATGGCCCATAACTGGAAATGGTGTTAATAGCAGGTGAATGGAAACAGATTGTGCTCCACCAGGCAACTGAGTACTGCTTGGCGGGGACAGGAACAGACTGCTGATGCACATAGCCACATGATGGGAAAAGAGGACACATTACACTAGTCCGTGAGTAAACATTTGAGGAAAGGCATACTGACTTATAGTAGCTAGAAGCAGATCAGAGATTTGGAGTCTGGGGGTCAGAGGACTCAGGGTTGGAGTTAGAAGTTTGGGGATGGTGAGTATTCATTATGACTGTGGTAGTTGCATGGACTTATTCATTTGTTGAAAGTCATCAAACTGTGTACTGAGAGTACTTTATTGTATATAAACTATACTTCAGTTAATTTAAAAGGAGAACCAGAATGTGAAAGAAAGTATTTGCAGCAGAAATCTTGGCATTCAGAATTCATTAAAAGAAAAACTCTTCAAATCAGAAACTTTGTGTTCAGCACATAAGCTCAGCCAGTATGAATGCATTAACTTCCCTGCAGTGACAACTGTCAAATGAAGAATCTGAGACTGTGAAAATTTGGAGAGAGGATTCTTGCTGAATTTTCTTTGTTTTGGAGTTTTGGCTTATTTTTCTTTTTTCATACAATGCTATACTTTTGTGTAATATATTTAAAGTATAACTAAAGAAAAGATACTAATGTAGGGGGAGAAAAGAGTGGATATTGATATAGCTCCCAAGAGCAGAGCTTTCATCCATCCATTTGCATTCCCTTCAGCTCTGGATGCAGTGTTACCAGGCACCAGTGAAATAAGTAAAATTTATTCTTGAGTTGTAATTTATTCACTTGATCAGACACAGAGGTTTATTGTATTGTTTTCTTTCTTGTAGATTTTCCAGAGTCTGAGAAGTTGACTTTGTTTATTGCCAACATGTGGCATGATGTATTTCTCTCTCCCTCGGTGATGAGTACAGCCATGCAGTTGGTTGCCAGGCAACGTGCTAAGGGAGAGGTTCTGAACTGCTTGAGAGCCTTTCTCAATTGGGAAAAGGTGAGCTGTTTTTATTTCTTATAATACCTTACTGTAAACTTTTACATAGGTGTTTATTATCTGGCTTTGTGTGTAGTTTTTCATTAGTTCATAGGCATCTACATATTAGGTCCTTTGAAATATCATTTTATCCTTAGCTTATGCATTTTATTCATTAAATGTTCACGAGACAGGCCAGGAATAATTGTAGAACTGCAGATTGTGTTACTTTAACAATTGTTTTATACCCCAATACAGATGACATTACATAGTTTGTTTTATGAATGATGAAATTCATACATATGTATATATGGGTAAAGGTCTTGGAAGAGCTGTAAAATATTTGGCTCTACAATAGGTGCTTAGGTGGAAAAATTGATACTTAAATTTCTTCTTGTTAGGCTTTTTTGAATTTAATATTTTTCTTAGTGGAATTTGTATTTGTTCTGAATACATGATTTTTCTATTACCTTTCATTAATTTTGTTTTTCTTTGGTTATTAACGTATTGAAGTAGTATTTAGATTGGCATTTTTTTGTTCATAGATCTTATCTAATGGGAATTCAGTTGACAATAGTACAGTGTAAGCAGAGATAGTAAAATCAGCGAGGGGTGGATTTTTATCTGCCTTTCTCTTTTTAATGAGCATGTGTTACTTTTATCTTTTAAAGACTCTAATGACTTATGTTTGGAGTTGAATTTTACTTTCCTTCTTAAGTACTTGTAGATGTCAGTGTTCCTTAAGCTTTTATTTTTTATAAAAATGGGACAAGAAGGGTACTGGGGTTCCAAGTTTGACTATTAAAAAGCAAGTCTGGCCAGGTATGGAGGTGCACACCTGTAATCCCAGTGAGGTGGGAGGCTGAGTCAGGAAGATCAAGAGTTCCAAACCAGCCTCATCAACTTAGTGAGGCCCTGTCTCAAAATAAAAAAGGGCTGGGATGTGGCTCAGTGGCTAAGTGCCCCTGGGTTCAGTCCCCAGTACAAAAAAAAAAAAAAAGCAAGTCTGTAATCACCTCTTCAACAGTCTATTTGGACAAATCAATGTATGTGATGTAAGGTACTGTCACAAATTCCAGTGGGTCATTTAACAGTGGTGACTTCCCATGCTAGGGTTTAGCTCAGTGGAAGAGTTGGCTTATGTACTATGCACAAGGCCTTGGGTTCCATCCCCAAATCATGGCAAAAGAAAGTGAAGATGAAACCTTCTTCCTGACTCCCACCAGGGGACACCCACAGTCACACAGGCATCCTCCTCTAGAAGGAGTATCGCTGATTCAAAATGCTGGTGACCAGAAGTGCTTCAGCTTTCATGTGTTGTGGATTTTGAAATACTTGCATAGACTTTATACTTTGAGTATAAAAACCTAAATCCAAAATGCTCCAAAACCAAAACTTTTTGAACCCAGGTTTCTTGTATTGAGAATATAAGTGTGCATGATGTATGTATTATTTTTATATTAGAACTTGTATGTAGTGCTGGTGGAAGTGCCAAAAGATGATAAAAGTACTTTGGAAACTAGACAGACAGCTTCTTATAGAGTGAAGTGTATTTTTAAAAAGGGCCCAACAGTTCCCCTCTTAGGTATTTGCTAAAGAGAAGTGGAATTCATATCCACAAAGACATACACATTGACACTCACAAAAATACATTCATAATACCCAAAAGCTGGCTCTAATCCAGATGTCTATCAATCAAGAGGTTAGGAGACCATCAACTAGTGGCAAATCCATATGATGAATTGCTATTCAGTGATAAAAAGAAATGTTCAGAGTACTAATACATGCAGCAATATGGATAAATATCAAAAAGTACCATATACAACTGTGAAGGAAGCCAGATATAATTGTCCAGCATTGTCATATTCCATTTTGTGGATTTCTGAAAAAGGCAAACTGGACTCCAGAATCCTAAGAACAGAATATTAAAATGTTTTTAAGGCCTTTAAAAAAATTATTAATGGATTTTATAACTTTTATTTTCTGATTTGAGTTGAGGAAAAATTGTATTCCTATCTGGCTTATAGCTAAACTCTTTCTACTTGATTTAATTCTGCATCTTGCCTTATTTATTTATTTTTTTTAATCCTGGTTTATCAACTACTGTTCTGTAATCATTTTATGCTGAGTATTATGACTAACAGAAACATGGTTTCTTATTCAAAATGCAACTGAAAAAGTTGTTTTTAAGATTAAATAAGTATGCATTTGCATGTTTTAATGTTTGAGATTACTAACCATACATTTGAGGTTTACTATATTTGAGACTCATTTTATTTTTTTAATTCATTTATTTTTTTATTTGTTAGAATGCACCTGTAGATGTTGGCATCATGGTTTCTAAGCTACTTTTGACCATACAGCTAAGTCCAAAAACAGAATTTCAGTCCAGTGAGAAGTTTGGAGAAGACTTAAGTGATAACATTTGGGAATATATATTTGCCATTGATTTGCTCTGCTGTCATAAGAAATGGATTTGGACACATGATAACATCATAAGGTTAGCTATTTTGCCAACTTAAAGATGGGTTGTTTTAATTGTATAGTTGTCTGTTGAATACTTAATTGTAGTTATAAGGCAATGTTTACAAAAGACATTTTTGTTTCAATGAAAGTTCATAAAATTACCCTTAAAATATCTGTGAACATCACATTCCTTTGCTTTATTTTTCTGAATACTTCTCACTACTTTTTGTTACTCTCTCTCACCAGTAGAAATGACTCTTAGGAAGGGGTAGTTTGGGTCACTGGTATATCCTGAACACATAAGATAGTGTCTCTTACAAGGGAGACACCCAGCAAATAAGTGTTGAATAAAGTGTCATGATCATTTGCATAACACACAGATAATTTGGAAAAAGAAAGAACAGAAGTATTAAAAGTAGCAGCTTTTCATGTGGGAAAGAATTGAGTCTGATGCTGTAGGCATCCATTGTATCTAATAAGTTAGTTTTTCTCTCCATGCCCATCATTCTAGCACTAACTCTATACCATCTCTGAGAGAACGGAGAAAATTGTCACTCAAACAGTTTCCTTTAGGCCTTAATTTTCTTGTGGAACCCTGATTGAGAATGACTGGATCAAGGGAGCTTATGATATTAAAAAGTATTCACCATAGGGTTGATAACCCATGTCCTTGAAATATTTGAAGTAACTTCTGTGAGAACCCATCTATGTCAAGGATGTTGTTGCTTCTCTGACACTAAGGAGGACGAGACAGCTAAATGCTAAACAATAGGGATTGAATCCTGGTCCATCTGTAGAATTAGATTCAGCTATGTTAAAATACATAGCTATAAACAGGTTTTTGTGTGTTGACAGAGAAAAATAGTTCACAGTTATTAATGAGAAAGTGACAGAGCCGTGTGTGCAGTGCCCATGTGTGATGATATGAGGGCTGTGCGGGTCCCCTTTCCCTGACTCTTCATGGGAGCCCAGGAGGCAGAAAAACTCTCTGTCCACAGTCCCACCAGCAGTGAGGATAGTGTGGCACCTCAGGACTTCTAATTGAGTGACTCCAGACCCTGCCTCTTCTCTCAGCATTATGGAGGCTCCCAGTACATTGTTAACATTTGTAAGAGAAAAGTGTCTAGAAAGAAAAGCCAGAATTAGAAGAGTAATGATTATCCAAGTTATGATTATTTGCAGTGCTTTTTATTTTCCATTTTTCTTTTGCTTGCTTAATTTTTCCCGTGATACATTGTGCATGCCACGTAAGAAGTAAATACCTTTTGAAAAGAAAGGAATTGTCACTATTTTCAGTATGTGGAAGGTTTTCTTTATCCATCTAAAGTGTGCTTTGATGTTTGGCATTAGTTTCCCCTGGGGCTTGGCTATTTTCACACTTGGGGCTTATTTGTGATTCTCCCAGTTAACTATGGGCTCCTGGAACTCAGGCTTCTTGAGTGCCAGAGGGGCCACGTGAAAATCCAGACTCCACCACCTCCTAGTCCTGTGACTTTGAGATTGCTGTCAAGGATAAAAAAAACCAGAAGAAGGTTGCAGGCACAGGTGGGTAGCTGTAGCCCCTCATGAGCCAGTGTGGGCACAGATACCCTGAGAAGTTAGTAAAGGTGTGAGCTTCAGTGTCCGTTCTCACTCAGGTCACCATATCAGCCCCTCCACACTTAACTCGACTTTCCTCCGGGTGTATGGATCATGTGTAAGACCAGCTATTGTTCAAGTGATGATGGACTCAGATCCTTTGTGCTGCTGTTTTCCAGTAAGGAGCTGTGGCCTGTCATGGATAAGTGGATAAAGTATAGAAAAGGACACACAAATGTGGCATATACTCCCGACGTTATCATAGCATCCATCCTCAGACTGATTGGTGAGTTGTCTGTTTTATTGCTTTCTTTTTCCTTGTTATTCATGGGAGAATAAATATTACTATTATAATTGATTTTGAAATCTCACCATACCAACCTTCAGAACAGTTTAATATTTAAATTAATCCTTCTTAGTCATTCTCTTGCCTTATACACTAGTGTTGTGTCCATCTTTCTTGGGGATTAAGTCTTCATGTTAGTACACTTGGCAAACAATTGAGCTCTTGCTTCTAGATTCTAATGTTAATTCACATACACACTAGGGTACATAAATTGGTATAAATTACACTGTAGTCTCACTTGGTGTCTAAAATGAGAATGTCTTCACACAACCCACCACAGTTTTTTTATATTTGCCTAATAAGCAAGAGAGTAAGAGTATACAAAATTAAATTCACCATTTAAAAATATTTTAAATGAGACCTAGCTTCTCCTTACCCTCAGATCTAAAGAGGACCCCAGTGGCCATTTGGTTATATTCCTTCCCTTGAGCCCGCATTTTTTATTTTTTTCCTCTTTGTTTAAAATGTGACAGACGGTCCAAGCCCTGCAGAATTATCAGGGGCTAGTTCTTGTGATTATTAAAAGACTCTGCTGACATGTGGTGTGTCAGCCACATGTCTCCTTCATCACCCAGAGGAACACAGACCCAAGTTCTTTGGTTGCTGCACCATGGCCCTTCAGATGCTTCAAGAATGTCCATGTGACTTTCACATTTGGATCTTAGCTAATTAGAACTAAAATACAATACATTTGAAAATAAGTTTGTTTTGAGAGTATGTCAAGAGTAAGCTTTACACACTCAGTAGGACTTGTGATCTCCCTGCTGCCTTGGTCACCACATTAGCAGGTATGCATTCATCTTCCATGTGAGCTGCACATGCAGATGCAGAGACTTCTCGCTGGTACCTATTTAGGTGGAAATATGTTACCCAATAAGGGAATGTGGGAACCAAATGGTTGCTAAAAAATAGAGGAATTCAGAAGAGTTGTATCAAAATATAAACAGCCCAGAAGTGGAAATGAATAAAATGTGCTCAATTGGGCATAGTCTCAAAACAGTTTTGCTGAATTCCTTGGTTCAACGACAATTTCCATTCCTAGATATGAAGCAGTAAGGAACACAGGAAGGCCAGTGCTAACAAATCCAACCGTCAAGTGACATCTGCGTTTCTGGAAATTCTGATTCCAGTGGCAGTTTCTTTATGAATTCAGGAAAAATGTTCATACTGTGGACTAACTCTTTCTAAATGGTAAAATCTTTTTGAGAATTTGAAAAATTAGGAGAGGGATTTTAAGTCTGTTAATACATGTTGTCTCAGAGGAAGTATCTATGGAATTTTTGAAAGATTTATATTTTTTGTATCCATGCTTTAAAATATGGCTTTTCCTGTTCTTGTTGCCTTGGTTGTGATTCTGTATTTATTTAAGAGGGGAAGTGGGATTAAACATGGCATGTCTGGTGCTCAGCAGAAGCAGCCTCTGCCTTTAAGTTCAGGAAGATGAGCCACGCAGATAGCTCCTCTCATCACTTGCATAAGAACTCTTTAATTAGATTTTATCACTGGGGCTGTGAACTTTGGTTGTCCAAATTGCCTGGGAAGCTGTATTTAAGATGCTGATTCTTAGGTTGCTCCACCCAAGGCTCTTTCTGATGGTCTTGTGGAGAGCTGGGTCTTCAGTGCCTTTCATGGAAGCCTCTGATAACATGGACTTGGAAATGATGGTTGCCTCAGTAATAGCAATCCGTTGCTGGGTATGGTGTTGCACACCCATAGTCCCAGTGGCTTGGGAGGCAGAGTCTGGAGGATCACAAGTTTGAGGACATCCTCTGCAACTTTGCGAGACCCTGTCTCAAAAAGTAAAAAGGGCTGATGTGGTTCAGGGGTTAAGTGCCCTTGGGTTAAAAAAAAAAAGCAATACACAGGTTTAGATGTCACAAAACTTTTAAACAGACAGTATGTAAATGTATACTATAAAAAGTAGCCCATGTGAATTGAAAAGAATTTGTTAATAGTTTATCCAAGAGTGAGTATGTAAATTATAGGAAGAAAACACAATTTGTATTTATGTCAAACTAAGGCTACTTTGTTCTTTAAATCTTTAATAGTCTGGCTTTTGAGTGATAACCAAATAACTTATGCCATATTTAATATGTATTATTTCATGTAATATATGTATATTTATAAAATTGATATTTTACAATTTGTATTATAGGGAATAATATATAATTAACAATGTATAACTGATAAATAACTGATAAATCCATATAATAAAATGATAAGACTAAATATGTACATGTAGTTCTAAGGATGGATAGTTAGAAAGGACAACATTGAAATTTGGAGCAGAGTCTGGACACTTGGGTCTGCCAATGGAGCTGGCAGGCTTGCGGGGGGGGGGGGGGTATGGAGAAGGCTGGGGTGCAGCTCATCTGCAGCGTGCTGGCAGGCTGAGGCTGGGGATGGTGCTGAGCTTTGTCCCACTCATGTTTTGGTGCTTCAGTGTTAGGCACTAAGGCCCATGCAGCCAAGCTGTTGCTGCATGGTGAGATCGCTGGTCATGAGGGTAGAGGGAGAAGGCAGCTGAAGCCTGCAGTTCAGAACTGCTGTGGCCTGAGAAGGAAAGTTGTTCCCCACCCCCTTGTCTGGAATGGCTGCTGGCTGAGAAACTCTGTTATTGAAACTTCTCGCCAGGTCTAAGGCTGACCATGACTAAAGAATTTAATCAGTAATTAAGTTGGTTGGCCTTGATATAACATTGCCTGTTGAGGTCACAAACTAAGCATTCATAAAATAAAAAGAATTATCCTTATTCTTAATTCCAAATGTGCAAAGTTCTAATTAATGAATCTTAATCCATGGTAAATAAAACAAGCTTGTGTAGTGTTATCTACTGTTCAACTGAGGTATCAACATTGCTATTAGAAAGTTGTCATCTGTGATTACTAACTGGGGTTTACTTTGATTGGCCTTTTCTAACAATAATGTGTCCAAGACCTTCTTGTGGAATGCCTGAGTGGCTCTTGACGTGGAAGAGTGACAGAACCACTTGTAACCTTAGCACTCCTCGTTTCTTGGTAGAGATGAGACCTAGGAAGGTCAAGCTCTAGACCAGGTTTACACAGTGAAGTTAGCAGAGCCATGGCAGAAAATTGCCTGGCACTGGATTCAGTGGAATTTAAGCTACACAATGCTACGTCTCTGTCCCCAGAGAGCTCATTAAATTCTGAATAACAAGGCCCACCTTCATTAACTGGAACCTACCCTGTAGGAATACACTCCATCAGATGTCAGGTTTGTACAAGTCAGAAATAGCTCTGACTTGATGCTTTCTCTTCATTCTCCTCTCAGGTCTTTCAATTGTCCTTTGGAATTTCCTCAGCACACCCTTTCATTAGCATAACTGGAGCCAAAGTCTTGTCCTCATGGTGATTTTTCAGTTCACCAGAAGATTTGTTCTCCTTGCAGGCTGTTAGCTTTTCTCTAGTGGCCTTGTCATGTTATGGAGTAGGTGGTCTTTGACAGTGAGGTTAGCTTCACACTTCTGTTGGTATGCTACTGTAGCTGAGTGGCCTTGGATTCCTTCACATCTCTTCTGTGGGGGACTTTTCTTCCCATCTGTTTGGCAGATTCACCTGTCATCTTTAACAAGCCAACATGTACTTGGGTCTTTTTCCCAAAACATTCTACTCAGACTTATGATTTTATCTATTTTTTAAATTTATTTAGACATTTATGAAACCAATTTTATTGAGCACATTAAATTGAATGAAAGGGAGCCAGTATAACATGGTGGGGTATCATTATCTGAAAACACTTATCCTGTATCTGAATGATCCCACTGCTACAGTAGGCACATGTTCCTCTCTCTGCTATCAGTTATGCATTAAGTACCCCAGCATGCAGTTAGCAGTTTGATCTAATTGCAAGAAGCTATTTAAAAGTGATAACAACCACTTGAAATTTGTGATCTCTGAAGTACATAACTTTTCACCTTCATCAAAAGGCTGCATAAGAAATTATGGACGTTTGCGGTTCTCATCTTGGACTAGGAATTATCCAGATGTTCTTAGATCAGTGGATATTTACTGAATATCTGCTGTATATCGCAGGACTCAAAGTGTATGTAACAAGCACTAGACATGGTTCCTCTAGGTGTAAGTTTCCTAGGTATTATAGCCTCAGTTTCTCTATATTCAAAATCGAAATGTAGTTCACGTACTGTATTCACAAATCAACCTGTGAAATATTGGTAGTAGTGAGGGATAGCATGGTCATTGAACAAGCATTCAATATAGTATTTTCATAGAGGTACAACCAAGATATCTTCCAGAATCTTCTCCGATAAGGGAAACAGTGAAAAGAAAATGAAGGCCATGCTTGCTGGAGGAGATGGGATTTTGGCTTGGAACAAACTTGCATTATAGGACACCCACTGGAATAAAGGAAGGATTGAGGTTTTTAGTAACTCCATAAATTATGTTGTTCTTCTTGATTGATTGGCTTGACCTGTGACCTAGATCATTGGTTTTCATGCCTTTCAGTCTCAAGACCCCTACATACTATTAGTCACTATTTAGAACTCAAAAGAATTTTTGTTACTCCAGGTTATATCTACCAGTATTTACTATATTAGAAATTAAACTGAGAAATTTTCAAGATATTTATTTATTTAAAGTAAAAAGTAATAAGCTCATTAACATAAGTGGAATTTTCATTTTGTTTTAAAATACCATGTTTCCGCCACCAGCAAGAGAAGCTGGACTGCACTGCTGGGCGTACCTCCTTTCTGTCTGCTTTGTTAGAAGGTGGCTGTTTTCTCATTGTCTGCTCTGCACTTAGTCTCTTGCAATCTGCTATTCGGGTTACCTATATGAGGTACATTTAGTCATGTAGGTGGTAGTTGATTAAAAGGAAGAATGGGAAGAATAATTTTAATAGGCTTTTCAAATGTTTGGATAATTCTAGGTTCTAGATGTTCCTCTTTGATATTACAATAACATTCAACAAATAGCAGTTCCTTTTTTTTTCCCCCTTTTCTTTTCTTGATATGGGAGTCTTGTTGTATTGCCCTTGTTGAAGCTGTGATTTACAGGTTAGTTGCAGTATGCAGTCTGAAACCCCAGCAGTGAACTTCTCATACTCTCACTACCATCCACTGGCCAAGTTTACCCAGTGAAGGTGTCCATTTGCCCATTGATGCTGTGTCCTCCATTGCTCACTTGGAAGATAATGATTTGTACACATCTTCCAGGTGTCAACAATAAAAAAACAAAAAGAAACTCCCCAAACCCACACATATCATATCAACATTGTTCTCTTAGGTAATATGAAAATGACTGACAGAAGTTGTCCGAGAATTCTAATTATGCTTAAAGGCTCCAAGTGTTGTCATACAACACAAGAAAAAGTTTCATTGAAGTTACAGCTCACTTTGTTCATGTTCGAGAACACATCTGCATTTTCCCACTGTTATTTTTCGGGTGAAGGTGTCATTGCCTGGGAAAGCTGCCTCGCTGCACTGTATGCAGACAACTGTGTGCTTTTCTTCAGATTGTGTACTTTTCGGTCCAGATCTGTTGAGAGTGCTGGTGACTCTTCACCGGGGCTTTTCTTAAATGAAAATGCGTCTTCTGGCTGCAAGCAGCTGGTGATGAGAAATGGCCCCTATCCAACGAGGTGCCTCTTCTCTGACCTGTGCTGGCCGCAGTTACTGATCTGCTGTTGTCTTTGTACCATTGTCCCAGTGCTGAAGAGACAGAGTTTCCTAGCGTTGGTGTGGGATCCTTTTGACTTTGAGGCCTCCCAGGATTCTGTAGCCTTGCTAAGAAATTGCCTCTCTGTATTACAACAGCAGTTAGACCAAAAGCATGTGTTTGGCTGGGACCACAGTCTTATATTTGACCTGTTAAACTAATAGAAGTCAGCCATTGACATGTGACCTGCTGAAACATTCTCTGCACTATGTCAAATGCCATTTGTTATGTTGTAGCTGGACTGAGAAGCTGCACTTTGTCATCCTGTTGGGGTAAAAGCAGAGACAGTTGGCCATTTTGTTGACATCCCTGGGTTTTTATTTTCTTTCTTCTTTTTTTTTTTTTTTTTTGTTGTTGTTGTAGTGCTGGGGATTGAACCCACAGCCTTGTGCATGTGAGGCAAGCACTGTACCAGTTGTTGGCACTCCTGAAAGACCAGTGTGCTCCATGAAGTCTTGCTGCCTTGTTATTCACCCATTTTCACTTAGGAGCAGTCACCCTTTTAACTTTAGTTCAGGGTCCTTAGCCAGAGAGCACTAAGGTCACAGGAACAAATCAAAATTCATACGAAGAGTGATCAGTATCTCACCAAGGACTCTCTGTGTTTTGTCTTGTTTGTTTCCCTAGGTCGCTTGGGCCAATTGGGTTTGAAGGAAGGATTTCCAACTGCTGTGAAAAATATTAGTTCGGTTATTGGTATGTTCATACAACATGCTCAGGATGAAGGTAAAACTCTTATTTATCAAAATCGCTTTCATATCTCTTGAGTTTCTCTTACTGTTTAAGCTTTTTTTTTTTTTTGAGTCTCTACTGTGTGCCTCGCTGTGTGCTTGTACATAGGGAAAATGAGATGGATGCTCAGTGTTGCTGTTTGTGCGTGTGAGTTCCTTGGTGTAGTTTGTTCTTTTCAGTAGCTGACCCTGTTGGGCAGTGTTCCCCTAAGGAAGAAAGTGCTCTCTTCTCGCTCTGCTTCTGCCTCAGACACTCTGTCTGAGCCCTGGGTCTTAACCTTGGACCTCTGCAAGGCCTCCTGCTCAACTATGTCCTGACCAGCTGAAGTCACATGTAAAGCAATGCTGCATGGTGAGGGACCCACCATTGTTGTGTGCTTAGCATCAGAAGAGGATTGGAAAGCTAGAAATCCTGCGAGCAGTTGCTGTGCTGGGATTTCTGTTATCATTTACATATTACATAGTATATAATTTTATGTCTTACTCTTGTGAGAAAAGCTTAACTCAAAATAACCGTTACAAGTGATATATCTAGTTTCTGTTTTGAGTATTGTGCAATCAAAAAATAATGTAGTTAACTTTTCATCAGAGAGGCACAAGTGACATCTTAAATACTGCATGACACACAAGGTGATCTTAACATGGTAGGTCTTTGTCTTGAGCTTTCAGAGGGAGGTTTGCTGTGCTGAGCTGGTAGAGCGCAGTCTGAAGGTGGCACCCTGAAGCACCCTCCTGACTTCAGGGTGACTGCTGAGGGGTGCTTTCCTTCTGCATGAGCATTCCTCATTCCTCCCTAACCCTAACCCTAACCCTAACCCTCCTCGTGCTGACGAGAAGGATTCTAGCCCAGAACAGCCCCAGAGGGTCACCTTGCCAATAAATGAAGACTTGTCCTGTTGCTGGGTTAGTGTAACCTAGAAACCAAGCAGCCCTAACCATGAGGAGGAAAGAGCCGCCGTGGGCTGTGGCAGATTACTACATGGCACTGCCCCGTCCTGTGGCATCCACTACCAGCCACACCCACCCTCTGAGGTGGATGGCACCACCCTTATTGCATATGCCAGGCCTGGGGGAAGCATAAGATATGTTCTTAGGTAAGATATGTAAGGAGCAGTGCCTTGGCAGCCCTGTTCACCCAGGTTTGCATGACTCCAGAGCCAGTCTCTTTAAACAACATTACATATCTGCCTTTATATAAAGTCCTTTTTATTTTATCTGCTTGTTGTTTCACTCACATGGCATTTTAATTTGAGCTGTGGCCATTTTCTGTGCCATGCTCTGTGCTTCTTTCAATATTTGTAGGTGTGGGGGTGGAGAAGGGGTATGGGTAGTAAAAGCATCAGTTCTGCTATTATCTTAAACATTAACATTTGCATGTGTGGTGTGTTTGTGTTGTTTTTTTAAATACAAGTTGAGCATCCTTAATCCAAAAATGCAGGATATGATACCATAAGTTTCTACTTGTGTAGAACCATGAAACATTTCCGTGCATAAAATTATTAAAAATATTGTATAAGATTACCTTCAGGCTTTGTGTATAAGGTATGTATGAAACATAAATGAATCTTGTATTTAGACCTGAGTCCTATTCCCGAGATATCCCATTATTTATATACATACATTTCAAAATCCAAAACAATCTGAAGCCCTTCTGGTCCCAAGCATTGCAGATAAGGGCCACTCAACACATGTGTCATGTGTCACTTTCAGAAGACTGAAATACAGTTAATAATAAATTTTAACTAACTCATAAAATATTTAAACTTAATGTAAATAAACCCTAACTAAATTAAGTTTTAAGTAAAATAAACTAAGTAAAACTGCTAAATAAACTGCTAAAAGAGAACTATAATATTCTACTATGGTTTGTAAGTTAGATAAGATCCACAATCCTGCACTGTAATCCAGCTTATTAAAGTGTCTCATCTCATTGCATTTTTTCACATCCAAAGTCCATTTAGGAACACTACTAGTGGATATTGAATAGATTCATATTGGACAGATGTTAGGAGCGCCTTGTCTTCTTAAACTTAAATGTGAGTGCTTTCTGGAACTGCTCTGGGCAGAGAAGTTCTGGGTCTCTCCCCTTTCCCCCACATGGCAGTCCTCAGAACACAGCCAGTGCCAGGAGTTCCAGGAGCTAGGGTCAGGTCGTTTTTCCTTTTCATTGTGGATAGTTCTTAATGATTTTTTTTTTTTTTTTTTTTTTTTTTTTACTGTGGGATCTTTCTTATGCATTTGATCTTCATTGCTGGCAGAAAGAATTCTTTATCTGAAAGCATTCCTGTAGATTACAACATTAAAATTTTGAGTAACAGATACTGTCTTACGTTATGATTGATTTAAAATTTCTCTTCAGATATACCATGGGGAATACAGTTAGCAGCTGTGTATGCTCTTTGTGACTTGAGTCCCAGCAACCCAGCGGAAATTTCCAAGATCCTAGAAGCTTGGCGGAGACAGACCTCCAGCAGCATCCCATCTGCAGTCGTCAGCTGCCTGGAAGAAGTCGGCTCCCTGAGTGTGGAGGGGCTCAGCTGAAGGCAGGGGCCGCTGCGGCTGGAGAAGTGCCTTGACACATCCGCTGTCCGTACACTACTCAGCTTTAGGAATACAGCGTGAGGTCCAGACGTGAAGTAGGTAGAATGGCAGCAGCCCTCCCCAGCGTGGGCAGGGAGAGCAGGCGGCTGTGTAATTGTTCTTTCCTAAACCACATACATTTCACTTTGGCTGTTGTGATCATGTGACATGGGTTGTGTAATTGTGTCTTGGTCAAACAACAAACACTTGAACCTAGCCCTTTTTTTGCTGCAGAAAGTGTCCTTTTAGTGGCTTTTAAAAGTTGAATGGCATTTTATAATGAATTTAACAATATAAAAACAAGATTTGGTTCCTGGGCTATTTTGGGCTTTATGCTCATATAGTGTCTAGGAAGAAACAAATTGGCTAAAAAAGAAATAAAAGAGTCTTCCGCTCTCTTAGCTGGAAATGGGCTACAGAAGTTTCTCTCAAGATGTGCTTAATTGACCACAGTAAAACACTGAGAGCTGTCAGCAGAAATTCACTTTACTGCATCTTCTTCATATCTCTAAAGGTTCTTAAGAATATTTAACTATATATCAGGAAGGGAACTGAACCATAGATGTTCCACTGCAGGTTTTTGTATTAGAACATGTATATGAGTGACTCCGCGGTGACCGCACCAGAGCTCTGTGTGCTGTGTACATACGGACAGTGCTATGATGTGTCTCACATTGGATGATATTCCACTTTCGGAATTTTAGTATTTGTATATAGAAAATGGGTTTAATAACTCACCGTGATTCTGATTTGTCTTATATTCATCATTTCTTAAAACTCTTGTATGTGTTTTTTATAATAAAAAATAAAAGTAAGCCATGCACATTGTTGTTATGATTATTAAAGTGTGACACTTGGCATTTCTCTACCAAAGATGAAGAAAATACTGTAACCTAGGCCAGAAAGAAACGGCCATCCCTTAGGAGCCTCGCCTCCTGCACAGGTGCTGCACTGCCAGTGCTGAGCTAGTTCTGGGCACTCACTGAGCGGGTGCTCCGTGGTGATGCCAGGTGAGTGCTGAATGGCTCTCAGGATTTGATTTGTTTTTTAATTATAATTTAATTATAATTGCTGCCCTTTTAAAAAAGCTTCATCTGACAACTCTTCTGCTACTCCTTCTGCCTCTTTTCCTAAGCATCACAGACATAACTTGAAGCTCTGGAAGTTGTTTGTTGGTGTGGTCATGCTTTCCACCAGTGTGCATTGGGCATCTCTGCCAGGTGCCTGGCTGGGAGGACCTGGTCAGGGCAATTGAGAAACAGATTCTCATAGAGCTATGATCTGTGGGAAGAGAAAATTTCTAAGGAACCACCCAGTAAATACAGCATCATGAATCTGGTGAGGTGCCATATTAAGAAACCATGAAGCACACAGTGGAGAAGAGCGGGAAAACCTCTCTCTTTTCTGTGCGAGGCAGGTTTTTTTGAGGAGTTGATGCTGAAAAGACCTTGAAAGAGGAAGCCAGCCTTGAACATACAGGAGGAGTGTCCCTGTGTATGGTTGAGGTTGGCCCTGTGAGGTGAAAAATGTACTGTGTGCCAGAAGGCAGTTGCTGTGACCACAACACAGGACAAATGTCCATAAGATTGTGTTAGACAGGAATCTAACAGTCACTTTGGACTTGAACACCTGACCCCCAGCTGGGAACCCAAGGCTTCAAGGAAGAGTTGAACAGAGATGTCACGTAAGGTTGGAGTTCACTAAGTCTTTTTTGAGATGAAGGGATGTGCAAAGACTGAGAAGTGAACCAGAAAGACCTGTAAGGGGACCTGCAGCAATGGCAGTGTAGACAGTCAGTAGACAGTAGGTAGATTTAAACCTGTGGTGGAGGGCTGGAATGTAGCTCAGTGGTAGAGCACTTTCCTCACATGCAGGAGGCCCTGGGTTCCACCCCCAGCACCACAAAACCAAAAATAAAACCTATCATGTGGGTGGAATCAATGCTATATCCATTAAGTGGGGGGTGAGGAGCAGGAGGGAGTCTGGGAATAGTCCCAGGTTAGTGAGTTGGGCAGGCACCTGGGGTGGGGCACAGGGGTACAGGTTTGATAATGAAAGTCACAAATGCCATGCTTTCCATTTGACAGGGGAGCCCTGAGACATGCAGGCATCAGTGACAAGGAATCTTTACAGGTGAAGTTCTGCCCAAGGACCAGGGCAGAGGTTTTGAAGTTGGCAGCGTATGGAGGATGTTTACAGATCTATATTTGTGTATTCACTTAAGGAGAAAAATAACTTCCCTTGGCCGACCTAGAATTTGAGGTGGTATGGGAGAGGGTGGAGGAGGAAACAAGGCAGGCAGGCAGGCTTGGGGGAAGCTGGGTGATGGATTTTGCCCTTGCCAGGAGCTTCCAGGCCCAGAGTTGTGGGGGCGGGGGGTTAGGCATCAGTGGGTGGGAGTGACCTTGATGAGCTTATCCCTCAGGATGCTGGGTTTACTGTGAATGGGAGGCAAGTAGGAGATGGAGGAGCAGTCTGCTGACACAGCTGTGCGGTTTTGCTTGTGTGAGTGTATCAGGTAGATCTAATGTTTTAATCTCAGCAGCATTCTGTGTTTTTAATTCAAGGAGAACAGGCACACTGTCATCATCTGCCTCTGAGAACTCCTGGTTGCTGCACTTCAACCAATGTGGTACCCCAAGTCCACTAGTCAGGATCTGCTCCATGCTGTGGGCTGATTATAAGTAGGCCTGGAGTTGCCCGTGTGCTCCGTACCCTTCCAAGGTTAAAAGAATTTTAAACTTAATTTCTAGTAACCAAGCAGAGCATTGCTGTAGTGTTGTTTGATTTGAACCATACAGCAAACAAATCTGGAGTTGGGTGGGGCTGTAGGCTGGAGTCTGGGGTCTGCAGAAGTGCACAGATACTAGGAATCTTGATTGAGCTGGGTCCTATGCAGCCTAATAAACCTTGCAGTGTGGAGCTGACAGGAGCGACTCAGAGCAGGCTGGGCTGCTGCACTAGCAGCATTTCCTGTTGTGCCTGGGCACAGTGATCATGCTGAAGGAAGTCAAAGGAGCTAGAGGATGAGGAGGGGTGGTGAACAGAGGACAGAGTAATCTTAGTGATCATACCAGCTGACCCTCACTTGCCACACACTTTCCTATGCAATCCCTGGCTTTGCATTTTAAGTTTAGAATCAGCCCAATGTGCTGGGCTGATGACATTTCAGTGGTGATTTTGCATGCAGAATTCTCTGTCCAATTGTTTTGCTTGTTTTTTTAAGATCCTAAGTGCCCATGGAATTCAGCAAATTTAATTGGGAAAGAATGAAACCAGAATGTATGCTATGTGAACACAAGGGCCTTCACTGTGGCCACCAGAGGGCGCTGCAGGCTTGCCTGTGAGTGAAGCCAGAGGCCAGCAGGCGCCCTCATTGGAGTAGGGCTGAGACATGAAGGGCTGTGCTCCCATCTTGTCCTCCAGGGAACCACATCTGTCTCCATTCATATTGAGCACTAGTCTCACTGCCTAGGCTCAGTAGCTCCAGGAGTCAGTGGGGAGGTGTGGGCAGGATAGCATGTGAAGCCAATGTCACTCAAGAGCATATTTAAAAAAAGAAACAAGCAGCAGGTGCTCTGCATGTTTGGCCAAATTCTTTTCTGGTGATTTTTTAAATGGTCCTAAAGCAAAATGCTTTGCCAAAAAAAAAAAAAAAAAAATCCGGATGGGTTATTGGCAGTGATAGGTGACCATGGGTAATCAGGTCTGGCACTTTCAGCTCACCCCAGCTGCACAATCCTACCCACAGTGAGCATGCTCCCTGCCTATCAGGTAAGATCCTGGCACATTCTGTCCTGTATAGCCACATTATGAAGGAGTTGTGTGAAAAGAAGTCACAAATGTGAATCTAATCTACCTGTCTCACCAAGACTGGAGGTGCAACAATGTTTTCAGTGTTACCGTCTAGAAATGTAGGTACATTTCTTTAAAGTCAAGCCATCAACTGGGCACCAGTTTCCTGCTTCCTTCCATTTGCCTGACACATTCTCACAAAAATTCAGGGTGTGCAATTGTGAACCACACTGGAAGTTCATTTTCTTGCCCCTCTGAACAGAACTTTAAGGAATGCCTACTTTCATATCATGAATTTCTATGTTAATATGCTCGGAAATCTTAGTGAGTTGAACCATCACTGTTCTGCAGTCAGTTTGCAGACAAAGGTAGAGTTGTGAAGAGTGAGGGGGAGATGATACAAATCAGTTTTACACAAATGTGTCCCCTTTTGTTGTGAAGGACATTAGGACTTGGGCAGGCTCATTCAGGTAACTAGTGTACCTCCTCACAAAGTAGGCTGAGCCCTCATCCAGGCTGTCCTTGATTATCCTGTTTGGAATGGGTAGAGTTGTTCGGCACTCTCCTGGGCCTATGCCCAGTGTGAGAGAGGGAGGGTGGTGGGCTGCTCCTAGACCAGCAGTTCTCAAATGCATATTAGACACGCAGATTCTGGAACCTCATCCATACCCACCGAATTTGAAACTCGGGGGTACTTGGGGAGCCACTGCTCTTTGAGTGCCCCTATTACTGGTCCCACCTACCCAGCCCTGCTTTGGGTACCTGCTTACTCCTGCCCTCTGCTTTCAGAAGGCCTTGTCTCTGGTCTCCACGTGGCTTTTCTTGTTCCCACTATTGATCTACTTCAGTGGAAATTTGGGAAGAAGACAAGGTAAGCATGTTAATTTCCTTTATCTTGAACCAAATCCCATTGCTAGCGGGATTTCTTTTTCTGCCATTTTTAAGTTTTTTTTTTTTAAACACAGTCATTAGTTGCTGCTCTGAGAGGTCACCTCTCCCTGAATCCTGAGTGGATAACTGATAAAACTCAAAAGGAACAATGAACTGAAAATATGAGCCATCAGAACTCCACAGCCAAAACTGCCCCTCAAAGCTGTCATTTTTTGTGTTGTTTTCTGTCATTATCTATTCGCTTTAACAGTTTAACTTGTCATGCAGTGTGTTCTAGTTGGTCATCCCACGTTAACTTGCACTATTGTGTGCATGTAGCAGTCATGGGCTTGGTGTCGTTCCCCCATCCACAGGCCCTGCGGAGGCTTGGCCCCAGGCTCTCTCAGAGCATGCATATCATTTAACCTAGAATCTGTCATGTCACACCACCTCTCCATTCTGTGTACTTCAGATCCTGGAGGGTAATAAAAATGTGAAGTGCCTCATGTGGTCCCTTGCTACGTTCTAGCCAGTGCAGAATTGGGTCTGTGTTCTTTTGTCTACCTGGCAAGTTGCTTCCTAAGGCTTTGGGGTGGTCTCCACTTGGGTAGCTGGGGGAGAGCTGTTGGTTATTTGCAGGAGCTAATCGCCCTCAAAAGCAAAGGGTACCAAGAAATCAGGGCTGTAGACTGTGAGCTCTGGATTTTTGGAGTCAGGAGCTTCTACCACCAACTTGAAGGAAAAGAGGAGGGCAAGGCACAGACTGAAGTCAGGAGCTTGGGGCTCCCGAGCATTTGCCAGGGACTCTGCCCTCCTCCAGTGGACCAGCCTGGCAGGATGGCTGGGTTTGGGCAAAAAGCTTGAGAGAAGTGTGTGTCCACTGTGTGGCTTGTTCCCTCACGTGGCCCCCACCCCAAGACAGCTGTGTTCTTGAACTCCACATTTAGGTGGCTTGCATCCCTGCATTTTCAACCAGTACTTCCCTTTGAGGGAAAAGTAAGTTTCCTGGAGAGTCCTTTATAAAGACATTCAGCTCACAGAAGTTTTTACTGCCATGTGGAGCTGTCTGTCAGCCCCAATACCTGAAGCAGGCGGAGTAGGAGAATGGGCCTGTGCTGGCGGAGCATATGGTCCTGAGCCACCTGGTCATTTAGAGAA